GTGCTCATTTCACATATCGATAAATTTGGTGCTCATTTCACTCTTTTTTTGGTGCTCAAAACACACTTCATCGATCTGGTGCTCATTTCACTCCTTTTCTGGTGCTCAAAACACATTTTTTCCCTGTTCTTGCAACCAATAGTCAGCTAAAACCATGAGCCTTAACTTGTTCATATATACAGAGGGTGCTAGATATTGGCGAAACACTTAACGGGTCCGAGCCCGAATATATCAAGCCCGGGTCCGGGTCCGGGTCCATAAAAATCTGGACCCGCTGCTTTCTACTCCAGTGTCATTTTCTTACTTCAGTTTTCTATCGATAGACAAATATAACAGATGTGTTTTCTTGCGGAGCATAAATATGATTCGGTGGTTGTCTTTTTTTGACTCACACTCGTTTGAACTAATTTATTTTAATCTGAACTAAAACAATTTTTAAGCTAAATTGAATTCTTTTTTGTCTTGCTAAATTATGAATGAATCCATTTCTTATAGTTATACTTACTTCACTTTGTATGGTAAATCATTGACAACTCGTGATGTCAGAGATAATCAACTACAAATTATTCTTCCTACTGCTTTAATGAATGAAGAAATAAATACGGATAGAAAAGATTCTGCATCTGGTGATAAGAAAAAACAAAAAGCGAAAGGTCAATCAAAAAAAGTTTATCAAAAAAAAGCTGAAAAGATTATCGAAGAAAATAAACAACGAAAAATTAATAAATGTATTATAAATGAAACCGATCAAATTGTTCATGTTGAAGATTTATTAAAACAAATTCCATTCGATAATTATTCAGCAGCTATGGAAATTATTGATGGTAGTTTATCTAAATTTAAAACATCTGTAAATCGTCTTGAATTACTCAAACGAAAATTTCATTTACAACGACAATATTTACAAACATTGAGAAAGAAAAATATCTTAACAAATGAAGAAAAATCTAAATTAGATTATCTTCAAACTGATTATTTTGCTACGATGACTGAAATGGCTCATCTTGAAAATAGTATTGATGTATTTAGTGAAAAGAAAAAATATATGGAAGAACTTATTAATGATTTACCATTCGATCAAGAAAAATGGTATCGATTTCAAATGGAAAAAATCAATAGTCGATTACCAAGATATGAACAAGGTATACCCGATAGTCGAGTACCTGATTTTATTCCAGATAATTGGCAAATTCAATTTCTTGATGCCGTTGATAAACGACAATCAATTATAATTGTAGCACCAACTGCTTCCGGTTAGTTCATTCCTTTTATTTATTATTGTCATTTATTTATAAATATAGGTAAAACTTATGCATCATATTATGCTATGAATAAAGTACTCAAAGATCGAGATGATCCAAATGGTATTTGTGTATATATAGCACCAACGAAAGCACTTGTTAATCAAGTTGCTGGTACTTTTATTTCGTTTGTTTTTCCTTGTGTTCTAAGTCAATCTATGAATGTATTTTAGCTACAATTCATTATAAATTTGGTGCTGTATTTGGAATTTTTACACGAGATTATCGTACAAATATGGATGGATGTCGAATATTAGTTACTATTCCACAATGTATGCAAATTCTTCTTCTATCACCTAATCATCAACGTTGGTGTCAAAGAATAAAATATGCTATTTTTGATGAAATTCATTGTATGTCTGGTGAAATTGGATCCGATGTTTGGGAAAAACAATGTTACTTATTAATTGTCCTATGATTGGTCTTTCAGCAACAGTTAGTAATGGAAATGAGTTATGTGATTGGATTGAAAATATTGAAAATCAACGATCGAAATTATTTAAAACATCAAAACCACGTCGAGTATGTTTTATTTCTCATCCGGAACGTATAGCTGATTTAAATAAATATTTATATTCAAATAGACAACTATATCCAATTCATCCAATTGGTCTAATGAATACAAAACAATTAATAACACGAGGTGTTCCTAAAGATTTTTCATTATCACCTTATGAAACTTTACAATTGAATGATGCTATGAACACCTTATCAATCAGCAAAATGTAAGTTTACCTTGAATATAGAAAAAATTCTTAAACGTCTTTCATTTAAAAACCAATACAAAATTCTCCTGTATAAGTAATCGTGTCTTTATATATAATTCATACAGTTCTCTATTCATAGATAGTATAACCTCTACTATATTAAACATATTAGTTTATATCAAGATGTATCAAAACTGTTCATGAATATGTTTTGTAAAGCATCAAATATGTCATAGAATCATCTTGAACATCTGCCAATCGTGTGATACACAGTGGTAATTCTGTCGAATATTGATTCTGTGACTGATATCAATCGTAAAAACTATTATAGAAAAGATTATTTTCATAATTAGAGCGTCCTTTGTTTCATTTGATATAAAATAAAATAGCATATATGTAATGAAGGTCCACAGAGACTTCTGGGTTACACTAAATACGTTCTTTTTTGATACTTGTTTGTTCAATATCTTATGAAAATATCTTGGTATAGGGCTGAAAATTTTCTCATAGTCTATCTAATTTAGATAAACTTGATAAATAAACTAAAATCATATTAAAGTAAAAGAAAATGCAGTAATAATTTATTAATTATATATTCATGTCAATTATTTATATGACATGTAGAATTTTCGACCATTGTCTGTTGGNTCGTGGACAAAATTTCAGATCGAAATTCGTTGATTTGGTTTTGCAGGTGAACCAGTGCCCTAGGGCAAAAATCGAGTAAAACTGTTATAACTCAGCCCCACAGGTGCATGGGCCCAAATCCTCTTAGGGTTATTCTAGTGTCGGGATCTCCTACTTATCCCCAAAGTATGAGCTCAAAAACGGTGAATCACTTGGGGTAGTTCCCTCGTTAGTAAAATGGACATAACCCGGCTATAGAAATTGCTGACTATTTGAAAGTTATTCAAAACAAAATTCATCTGTCTTTTATATATTGGCGTTGATAATAGTATTTTGTTTTTGTAGAGACTAAAGAAAACTCAATGATTCTTGCGGAGCTAAGCTACTAATAGGTTCTCTGCTTTTTTTTAAAAAGTGATGTTTGATTTGCCTATTTTTAAACGATTTTTCTTTCTTACTGGTTGACGAGAAAATTCTGCTGATTTTTTTGTCATATAATCGCAAAATGCGTTCAACCATTGACTATATTGATTTTTAGTATTTTCATCTATATTCGACCATGGAGAAGTTAATGGTGAAAAATTTGGTATTTGTGTCATAATCTAAATTAAAATTAAAAGATTTATTTTTATAAGAAAATCAAAAAATCGAAAATCAAAGTCTTTTCTTTCTTCTTACTTCATGAAAATCTAAATTAATATCATCAAATAAACTTAATGCACGAATAACATTCATTGCACTAAATTCAATAAATGCAATACGTTTTTTTGTTGATAAAACAAGTCGATTTGTACTACGTTGTTTAATTGATGAACAACTACTTTCTGCTAATGTTAATGCTTCTTGTAATCGATAACTATTCAATAATTGATCAATTTGTTCTTCAAGACTAAGTGGTACAAGTAAATATATATTATCTTTATTCGTAACAATGATATTTTTAATATTTTCTTGTTGCATTGTTAATAATGTTCGACAATATTTTAAAGGTATTTCTTGTTTAAGTTGATCATCTAAATAACTAAAATAAAATTAAGAAAATGTTTTTTTTTATTTTGAAATTTTTTTCAAAAAGAAAATTCATACCTATATATATGTATATAATCTCTGACAAGAACAATTAAATAAGGATGTGAATAAACAAAATTCATCGGTGGATTAACAAACATAATTGGAGCACGTTGACTCATGCCTTGTAGAGATGTTGTAACACCAACATTAGGACCATTAAGTAAATATTGTCCCTACAAATCGTTTATGAATTAATATTTGATAATGATATTATTTGCTTTGTTTCTATTTTCTTATAACTTTGGATAGAAGATCTAAGAGGATTTATTCTTTACAGTTTTTTCATATCTCACTGGAAACTATCGTATGAATAGAGTCTGAATCAAAAACGATTCGTCAATTGAAAGTGCTCCTGCGTCAGTAGACGTACTGATTCGATTTTTATGAATAATATATAATAGAACGATGAATATCGACTTCTTTTTCGTACCAGTCTTTTTATTGACGGTTTCAAGTACATTTGAAAAATGTTAGGATCGAACATCTATTAAATATCTAACACATTTCTAATAGTCAAAAATAAGAAGAACTTAATCATTATCTAGGGTTTGAAATCAAATTGAAAAATACCTACCGGAGAAATATTAGTAAAACAAGTTGTTATATTAGGATCATCTAATTTAAATATACTTGTAAAAGATCCTATTGATCGACGATCATTACTATTTGGTGGATCATATGAAAAATATTCTGTTTCAGAACATCCTATAATACCATGCTCATCCATTGCCTGAAAAAAAAAGAGAAAATAAATCAGTTAGAATAAATAAAACAGACTTTCGATAATTAAACATACAATTGATATGAGTGAATCTTGAACGGATATTTCATGTATTAAATTAATATTTACTTTATCTAATCGATAGATTTGTATTTTATTTCGTTTTGTTGATACACATATCTAAATTAATTTTTATTATATACATTGCTGTGAAAAATTATACTCCATCTTTGACTTCTTTCGTATTATATTCTCGATAAATCTCACTTTTTTCATTTCGGATTTTATTGTCAATATATAGACTAAGATGTACTCTTTCAGGATCTATTGAAAGAAGTTAAAGATGGAGATGAATTCTATAATTATTCTTTTTTTTTTATAACACCATATATCTTATTCTTACATCAACATGTCCTCCTTGATGTTGATCAGAAGTACTTGATACATCAAATGTTAAAACATATTTTAATTTTATATTAGGAATAGGCTAAATAAAAAGATGTACAAACTAAATTGAAATACATTTAGTTATTATTTGTCTTACTTGTAAATTATCACTATCAAGTATTTGAAGAAAATTATCACTTAATGTAAATATACGATGAAGAGATATTCTCACTACTTTTATTTTTATTATTGGTTTACGCTATAAAGAAAGAGAAAGAGAATAATATTGTTTCTTGTTTTTTTTCTAATTGTTTTACTGTTCCAAGATTTTGACTACCAATACAAAGACATTCATATCCTTTTGTCTCACTAGTTGTTGAGTCATCAGATGGTTTTTCTCGTACACGTAACTTGTGAACAAGACTAAAATAAAATAAAATCTATTTAATTTTAAATAAAAGAATTACATAACAAATCCTTTTCTTTTTCTTATTACATTAAATTTATTAATTTATTCCCGGACAAAAAGAAAAGATGTCAAAATGTTATTTTTATTAATTGACGTTCTATAACGTGCATTATTATATACAATTATAGAAAAAAAAATTTTTTTTTCAGAAAGAAAGCACATCATTCATTGTACATGTTATTAAAAGATTACAAATGCATATATATCATTCAAAAATTCTTTTGTCTTATCCTGTCACTTGATTAGCTGCAGCAGATGTAACAGGTGTCTCTAACATCTAATTTTGTCAGAAGTACCCACTTATCTCAATGTTCGTTTTCTTATCACATTTTTCTTTAACAATATTATATTCAACTGGCAAAATGTTCCTCGAGGCTAAAATGTACAATAACATCCACTTTACATAAGACTAAATTGTAGAGACAATTAATGATGAATGTTTTGTCTGTGAAAAGAATTTTTATTTCTCCACTTTCTTTATACAAATAACAACGAGAGACATCAGCAACATTGCGTAAACGAAAAAAACAAAATAATCAATTAATCGAACTAAATGTAGACATTTTTTTTTTTTGTGTGTTCAAAAAAGAAAAAAAAAGTGAATACATAGACGGAGTTCAATTACCATTTGATTAGTATTGACTATTTATCTAAATCATCAAGTACAAGGCTAATATGTTTTCTGTTCATAGATTTAATTAATACAACAACGAGAATAACGAATGCGTCTGACATTGATAAATAATGATGTAAAATTGAAGAAAAAAAAAAAGAAAATGCATTCGACCATAAAATCACCGGATGATGTAGACAGAAAAATTCTTCTAATAAATGATCAAGAAATAAATATAATGAATAGACTGAATATTGTTAAATAGGTAGTTTTCAATTTTGATGATGAGGAAGTATACAATGATGAACGTATAGATTCATAAGATGAAATGACACCACATGCTTCATATTCATTTTGTTTAGCTTTTTTATATTGATGTTTAAGTTGAGATGATAAACATTGAGATTCATCAAGTAATAAACGAAAACAATCACGTAAACGTGAATATATATTACAATCTGTATCTAATTGATCAGCATAGGATGAATCTTGTATACAATTTTCAAATTTAAATTGACATATTTGAGAATGAAATGGTTTTAATGCTGTTACAATATGAAATAATTGATTTGATGATGATGATGATTGTTGTTGTTGAGATAAAATGCATGTCAACATCGTCATAATGACGATTAAATCGATTAAATTTAAAGTTCGATTGATAATCATGAAATATTCAATAAAAATGACAACGATGATTGTATATATGTATATATTTATATATAGATATATACAGGAAGAAAGTCGTAATTTACATTACTATCACTCTGTAGTGCACAACATGCCGAAAGAAACGAGACGAGACAATGATGATGAAGAAGGAGAAGAAAGGCAATGCAGAAATATGATAGAACCTGTTTCTCTCTATTGCTTGTTCTCTTTTTTTTTTTCTTTTTTTCTTTCTTTGTCCTTTGTTCAAGCAAATAGAGTAGAAAAGGGAAACAAAAAAAAAGTGTCCACCCTTGTATTCACTACTATTAAATGAGAGATTTTGTTTGATGTTAACTACTGATTATGAAGAATGAATGACCAAAGGCGACCGTTACTTTTCCTTTTGTTTGACTGTATGCTGTGCATAAAAGAAGAAGATGGAGAGAAAAAAAAAGGCGGAGGCATTACATTACATCACAGCATGAAACTAGATCCGTTTGGAAAACATCATTTCTACCAAATAGAGATTCATGCTAGGCCAATTAATCGATCACTATCATTCTTATATCGTACTCACGAGACTCATTCTTTTACGAAATATAGTTATTATTTGTCTGAACTCTTTTCTTTTCTCTTTTTTTTTTTGTCTTCTTCTATTCATTCATTGTTCGTTTTTATAAAACAATTGAATAACTTCATTGTAATTATCTCACGATGACACATTCATAAGAAAAAAATGACTGTCGTTTGATCTCTCTTAAATTGTCATGGATTATTTCCGGTTCTTATGAACAATAAAATGTTTTAATATGATATTTTTCTTTTTTTTAATAAAAATAAGAAATCTATAACTATTTTATATGATAACTAAGAAAGATTTTGCATTCAACAAGCAAATAAAAATTTGCATGACAATGTCATTATTATTTCTTTTCTTGTATGGATTCTAATCTGATCGTGAACGGCACGAAAAAAAAGAGAGAGAGAGAGAGACAGAGAATAGGAGAAAAGAAAAAACAACAGTTCTAATCACGGACATCAGGCAATCGTGTGACAGTTCAATTTGTTTCGCTCTCTCTCTTTCTTTTCCGCTATTTTTTTCCAAGGATGTTCCGACATCTTCTTCTATATGCATCATTCCATATTCTTTTTCTATTCAAATAATCAAACTGAAGCGTAAAAGCATCTTTCTTTTTTTTTTTTTTTTTGACGAGTATGTCATTGTTTCAAAGGTGTTTTCTTTTTATAATGCATTCTTGTTGTTCAACATGTAAATTACTAAAATGCACGCACATAACATTGTACGCATGCGTAAGTGACAAACAGAATACGAGAGAGAAAATTTAAAAGAAACTAAATAATGACCGCAATTATAAGCCATAAGTCATCATTCATTTATTTTTCACTGAATATTGCACATGCTTAGCTGTTTGTACATTCTGGTTTCTTATATAATATATATATGCATCGATATTCAACACATGGCGATAGTGCTAAATTATTCTATACAGACGTTTGACTCTTGATCTATTACTGACATGTCTCATCGCCTATCTATCGTATTTCATGGTCGAAAGAGGATAAGAAAAGAACCTCATAAGATACCATTCATTGACATCGTCGTCTCAACATATCCATAATTTATCTTCATAAAAAGAAAACGAAGATTTGGCAAGTTGTGCACAAGTGCTATATATATTATTGGATATTTCTCTTCGGAAAAGAGGCTTTTCTTTTTTTTCCCGTAATACACACACGACGGGTGATTAATAAGACAAGTATTAAAAAGAAAACTCATACATGGTACCGTAATTCTTCAGGGATAAACGATTCATTTGCTTTTTTTTTTGTTCAATGTAAACGCACGCATGTCGATTAATAAATTCTAAATCGAATGAAAGTATTGAATCCCTTGAGTTATTAATAGTAAGTTTTTTGATAAAAATAAATGAAATCCAAGGATAAATATAAACTATGTCAATGACAACACAAGCTATCTATCTACCGTCAATAAGTCAATTAACTATGATCGAGTGTTTATACTTATAGATGTTGTATATGAGCATGGTCAACATAGAAAATGTGATCTTTGTGACCTCGAAATACAATTGAATGCCACTCATCGCTGTTAGGCAAGAAAAGCAAACGAACGATAGTGGCATTTAATCGAGTCGACATTTCTTTCTTTTCTCACTTATATGTTCAACAAGGCAAGAATAAAAATTTACCCATCAATTGTGCCAATATATAAATCATTTGTGCGTATAGCAAATGGGTTTGCTGATGATGTTGAATCATTATTTGTATCGATGCATTCAATCTAATAAAAGAAAAATCTTCAATTTTGAACAGAATAATTTTCATTAGAACAATTCATATGTATGTCAACATTTCTTTGAATATATTTATTTGAGAATAAATTTGTCTTTTTTTTTAGCAAATTAACAAAATCATTTGTAACATAATAGAAATAAAACTCTAACGATGAAGTATATTAAATGAATTTGAAAGTTTTTCATTGTAGAAATTCTACTCATTTAAGATAATATTTAATTACCTCTCCGACTTTACCATATGGTTGCTTATTTCGAGACCAAATATTAATAATTGAAAATATATTGAGAGCCATATTGATAAATAAATAAATCTAGAAAATACTTTTAATTAAATTAACAAGAACGATTTTTCATTTAATATATTAAACTAATATTCTCTTTCAACTTTATTTAGAAGTTAAGATCATTTCTAAATTTTTACAAGGAAACATATTCAACTATCGGATGTCGTTCAAATCCATATTGTGATTATAAATCAGACTCAGTAAAACTAAGAAGCTCAACAAGAGTTCAGAATCATATGTTAATCAATCATTCATGGAAAACTTAATCACGAGATTTTCATCTGAAATTTTACAGATCTCATAAGTATTAGAATTTTCTAAAATGTTTAGAACCTTTTTAATTTCACTTAGTCTAACTTATAGCTAAACTAAAAGATTTTTAACAACTATCATTCAATTGTATACAACATCTTTCTATTATCTCTTAGATTTCCTATAAAGTTTTATCTATTGCTAACGAGGTAACATATGTAAGTGTAAAATCGCTTTTGAGTCAAGACTATGCGCATCATGTAGGCGTTAGTGAGTCTAGAAAAAGCCCAACAGAACAAGGGCTGCTAGGTCTATCTTTTCGAATTATGACCGTTTTATTGAATTTTTTACCCTATACAAGGTACTGCGAGGCAGATCGAGAGAAGGAATTTTGAGCTGAAATTTTGNAAGTTGAAAACTGTGCAAGAGTCTGCAATTAGTCTTTACTTACGAAAGTCAAAACTAAATAGGCCATTTTGTAGAGAATTAAATTCTGCATCGAATGCTATGTCTATCCATATTTTTTCAAAATTTTTTTTGGTTAAAAAATTCAAAATATGATTTTTCACAAGTTTAAAACCCGGTTTTCGATTCTAAAACCTAACTTTTTTACAAAATAAATGTCAAATTCGTAATCAGCGTTAAAAATTGCATCTAGTAACTCATTCAGATTTATCTAACTCGAAAAAAAATGTTTTCGAAACTTGATCAGCGAAGTGTCGCGTTACGTGGACAAGCCGTCATACAGTCCCCACCACTACGAGGTTCATCTAATGCCGATTTCATTTTCAATGATATTGTTGGATATGGCTTTTGGGGTGGTGCTGGAGGAAAGGAAAAAGGGGCACTCAATCTCGAAGTATCAGCAACGAGTCCGTCCCATTCGAGTCGACCTGCTGATTCGCTACCTAAAACGAACATCAAATTAGCAAGTAATATGCCTAACGTACATAACTGGCAATGAATTAATGATAATATCACGCTAGTATCGCCAAAATTTTTCATCCCTGCTGATTCTTCTCATATGAAAACATAAAGGACTTTGATGGAAAATCATTCATGTAATAGCTTTTATCTTTGGATAGTATTGACTGTCAAAATGGCAAGCTTGCTACAGATTAGCCTCGAATCAACTAATTATTTGACTAACGTTGTACATACGTTCATATCTGAAGTTCCATAGAAATAGAAAACAAACAAAATCTCATAAATAATTAATCGAACATGCACTATGTACATATTTTGTATTGTGGAATGAAACATTTCACTGCGATGTTCAACTCACGGCATAGGTGACTAGCAAATGAACCTATGGCACTTAATGTTACTCTGCGATCATCAGGGCAAACAAACATGTTTGTAACACTATTCTCCTTTGGTACGTTGAATTGGGTTTTGCGTCCGAACAAGACAATAAATAAAAGTAAAATTACAAGAAAGTTTAATCCAAAAAAAGGAATAATATAGATACAAAGAATCGAAAATTTCAGTCTTACTTTGGTTTGAGACGCTGCCATCGACGGAAGTCTGGTTGAAATTATTAAGTGATAATGATGACGTTGTTGCTGTTGTTCGTAGAGAAGGCGGAGGATGAGGTGGTGGAGGAGCAGCAGCAGCAGTTTCCAAACCTAAATGAATCCACATTGTATTCCTTAGAAATCTAATGACACCAAGCACAAAAATGAATATGATTCTATTTGGAACTTACGAGGAGGAGGCAATGGTGCAGCATCAAATAAGCCACCTACATTGCTGACATCGTCATCAAAACTAAAATCTAAAAGAGGACGAGAGTTACATTCTACAGTTTACATTATCTGACCAGCTAAGGACATTAGCGATGAGCTACTCTGAAGAGCTGTTTGATTGTCGGCAGTGTTACCCTCAAAGGAAGAGGCAGATGCTAGTAAAGTTTGCGCTGGTATTGTGTAACATTGTTGAAAATGATGCATTATTATTGTTAGTGTTGATTATCGGTGCCACATAATAAGATGCGAACACTACTAATTCATCACTGAATGCATGCAACGTCATTATATGAGGAGACATCTTACGTGGAGTTGATAGTGGTAGAAAAAAATCTTGTGGAAGGGATTGATTAACAGTAGCCGATGGCATCTCAGAAAATGCCATCGATTCTTTTGTTGTATCTCTTGATGGTGGTAAAGGCCTTGGCATCCTACCTGTACTGCTCACTGCAGCTGAATGGTGCATGAATTGTGGTCGTGTTGATGGCGATGGCGGCGGATATAGTGATTGAAACTCAGGTGGCTTCTGAGACGAAAATGAAGCAGCTACCAAAAAGTAGAAAGCGAGACTCAATTTCGAATGAAACTAATAGATTCTAATAAGACTCATTCACATATATTGAAAAAAGTGAAGTGAAAAGGCAGGATTTTGATTCACAAAACTTCTTTTAGATTTCTCATATATTATTACGAAACGATTGAAAAAATTTATCAAGCATCCAGCAAATTCATTTTTGTGTTTGTAAGGTAAGCTTATTACATTGTAAGATTTTTGATATCGACAAAAACGAGACAAAATGTGTCGAAGTTCAGTATCCAATTTTAGTCGTTGAACTACAACGGATTAGACAAATTTTAAACTCAACATATGAAAGTCGTGAGATATAAAGGAGTCGCTGACAAATATGAACTTTTTTCTGTTCTAAGAACTTCTATAATCTAATATTTTCTCGCTGTGATCGACGTGAACAAAAAAATTTACGACTTGAAATAAATGTCTGTCGTGTTAATTGTCCATAATATATTCATGTAAAAAAATATACGCGAATTATTACTTTATTTGCCAATACAAGTCTTACACAGTTCCTGATTTTCTAATTTTTTTTCTCTAAGTATTGGAAATCTATTTCTTCAGTTATTCAAAAATTAGATACTGCTCTTTTTTCTTTGAAATGAGAGATGACATCGATCGTTTTCGCTTAAAAATTATTGGATAATACAGAAATGGTTCCTGTGCATCAGCAAAATATATGTTTGATCTTCTGTTCGCTGTCGAAAGCATTGGTCATATTGATTCAAAAGAGAGAGTTGTAAAGAGATGAAATAGAACGTTTCTAATGCTACAAGCATATCATCTCATTGCTACATTTTTCTGGTAAGTTTATTGTTCTTTTTTTTGTAGGAAAAGTTCAAAGTGCTATCGCTTTTATCAACATAAGAACTACGCAGTAAGTGAAGGGATATCTTATCGAAAGTAACACTTTTGAAAGTTAAGGTTATATCCCAAAGAAAAATATTATTCCTGTTGGTGGCTTCATGTCATTAAAGTAAAAATATAAAAAACTAAAAATAAATGTAAGACAATTGTGAACTGTAGATCATCTAATAACAATCTGTTATTCTCGAGAAGTTCGAATACAGACGGAATTTAGTTGACGTTAAAAATGAACATAAGCATTAGTATGTCAAAATTCAGGTCTCACCTTGAGCTTGAACCATGGAATTGCTGGTGCTAGCGGAGGGAAGAGTCGACAGTTCAGGTTTAGGTAATTGTGCTGATGTTGGACTTGACTGTCGTTTACTAATTAGCGGTCTAATAGAAAACACTAATGACTACATTATATATACTATGGAAAATTCAGACGCTCGCTTCAATGCAGCAGATTTTGATAGTTGTTGAGCCAGTCCTACTGGTAGCAATAGTGATGATGCAGGCACAGATTCTATAAAGAATATTATGAAATGAATCTGATGCCATTAGCGATCTTACCTGTACTCTTACTCTCTTTCGTTTCCAATTTTTGATCAGCAGTAGATATTGGAAGTTGTTTGGCTTCAGATTTCGAAAGTAAATCAAATAAATTCGATTATGTGAAGCATTTGTCTTCATTACCTGGAATGATCTTTGCAGTAGTCAAATCATGACTCACTAAAGAAGACTCATGGGCGTTAGTAAATCGGAGAGAAGCCAAATCGCCGCCTCCAACGCTGTCGTCACCAAATAACTCTGCTTCTTCATATTCCACTAATGACTGTTGTTTCGCATCACTTGTTATCGATTGCAAATTTGATAGATATTTTTGTGCTAAAAATTAATCCTCAATCGTAGCTACATAACAGTATAAAATTAACCACTCTTCTTCACTAAATGCAACTGCTATAATTCGTAAAGAAAGCATTACAGCAAATAGACAATATACATAACATCATTCTCCGTATCTTGCATTTCAAAAAAAAAAACAATCGGATATAGGAATAAGTCAGATATATGGTCCTTTAAAGAATGAACTACAAAACTCTTATTATGAATGATTCTTTTCCAGAAATATGTTGGGGTTGAGTAGATTATACAGGGTTATTAAAGATATAATGCTTGATAATCGATCAGCAATCATCTATTCTTGTGGAGATCAGGCGGTGTAGTAATCGTGTTTGACTAGTTAAAACTGGCCATGAAGTATAATCGAACACAATTTCAATAACTGTTTATTCAAGGTATTTGAAAAGGATTTGATTTTAAAGATTACCAAATGTCATTCGGTCGAACGCAATAATTTTCTTCTGACTCATTGCTGCTGCATTGGTGTAATTTATTGGCAAATTTAAATAATGATTACGAGCACTAGAATCAGCTGTCAACTTTTCTTATATGTCAATTTGTAAATGATGAGAGAACATAATTATCTGACAAATCAATTTTAATATTAGACTGTATTGAGCGAATAGATTATACTGAGTGATGACAAGGTTTTATACGTACATTTTCGCAAAAATGCCTCATTCAGTCAAAGCTATGAGACAATCATCTGACTGAGGCTCGTTTTTTTCCACATGGTAGTGAACTAAATAGGAATTTAGTTGAATAAGTATAACAGTCGATTAGAAACAGATAGTCTAATATTTACTCAATACTGTCGTTGGTTACTCAGTATATCTCTATTAGGGCTTTTGCAAACGGGCTGTTTTTTTCGTCGCTGATAGAGGCCTGTTCAAGCTTTATATTTATAAGAACATGCCTACACAGACCCTTTGTTAAGTAATCCTATTGACTTCAAGAAAGAAATTTTTCTTTTTCATATATCAAAAAAACCGATGTACTATAAAAAACAGTTTATTCGGAGAAAATGTAATCAGTGAAATGAACATTTAAACAACACGTGTTGTGTGTTTATATATATTCTCTTTTCGTATTTTTCTCTTTCCGTTCTCCTATAGCCCACATTGGTACCTCACATAATATAAATCGTTGTTTTATATTGTTGATTATATTCAAATATCATCTTCCTATGTACATTTTGCATATTCCTGGTAAGACTTGTGCTTCTTTCTTCCACGCTTTCTATCGTATCTTACTTCGACTCACATGTATAGATGCCGAGATTTTTGACAAAAGTACAAAGAATTTTTGTCCTCAAGCAATGGTAGATGTCAAGAAGAACATTACAAACAGTAAATGGAGTTTTTCGACATGAATTTCCTGAGGACGAAATTCCAGCTCGACAAAACAATTTATCGGCTAGCAAAAAAGATTAATGAGACAGGTTCTGTGGAAGATACACCTCGAAGTGGTAGACTAACATCAATCAACACAGAAGAAAATATGGCACTTGTTTCTCAAAGTTTTTTTCTTAATCCAAAAAAATCACAGACGTGAAGCATGTGAACTTGATATCTCACGCTCAAGCTTACAACGTATTATGAAAGATCTCAATTTAAAACCGTATAAACTGCGATTGTTACAAGCCTTAAATGAAGATTATCCTTATCGACGACTTGAATTTTGTTAATAGGTTTTAGGTTCAACTGAAGAAGATCCAACTCTATTAGATCGAATTCTGTGGACCCACGAAGCCACATTTCAAACAAACAGTCGTGCCAATTGACACAATTGTGTTTATTGGAGCGATACAAAGCCGCACTTTATCATTGAACACGAGGTCAATGTGCCACGAGTAATTGTTTGAGGAGGAATATGGTTAAATGGTATTGTTGGACCATTTTTTTCGAAGGTAATGCTATATCACAGAGCTATCTTAAGATGTTAAAGAACAATATTATGCCACAACTTGAAGAACATCCAACCTTTCCAACAATGATATGGCAGCAAGACAGTGCACCACCTCATTACGGGGTGGGGGTACGAGATTATTTAGATAATTTATTTTTACAGTGGATTGGGCGTCGAGGAACTATTGAATGGTCACCGCGTTCTTCGGATCTTACCCCATGCGATTTCTCACTATGGGAAATGATAAAAGATCGTGTCTACGCTCAAAAATCTAGTGATGCGAATAATTTGAAATTATTAATTGAGCAAGAATTTACATCGCTCAATGATGATATCGAATTATCCCAAGCACTCTGTCGTTCTGTAGCTAAGCGGTGTCAGATGTGTATTAGTACAGAAGGCAAACAATTTGAACATTTACTGTAAAATATTTTCCATTCTTTTTTGAAAAATTTTCCTTTCTTTATAGTACATTGTTTTTTTTCATATATGAAAAAGCAAAATTTTTTCTTGAAGTCAATAAGGTTACTTAACAAAGGGTCTGTCTAGGCATGTTCTTATAAATATAAAGCTTGAACATGCCTCTATCATTGACGAAAAAATCAGTTTGCTTGCTCAAGCCCTAATGGAGATATTCAATTTTTTGTCGAGTGCGTGACTTTTGGGCCACCCTGTATATTATCTTCAAACAGAAGGCATTAGTACAATAAACTTTTCTTTCAATATTCGCTGCTTATAATAAAAGTTGCATAACTTACTAAAGTCGATGTAGGAGGACTCGTTCATGCAGTCCAATATGCTCCAATCTATAGCATTGTCTGCATTCTCTGGCTCGACCAATTTCAACGGTTGTAGTATTGAAAGCTCGTCTGGTGCAGGTTTCTTCTCTAAAAGTAAACCTACATTTCAAGGATATAACACCAGGATCATATGTAGAAGCAATTAAGCAATGCATTTTTTCAAAAACAAGGATCATCAAAACATTGAACTCTCTGAATCTCAAATTAAACATCACAGTAAATATTAATTATCAGTTTCGGAATGAGGTTCAGTCATCGATGAAAAGATTCTATAGTTAAGTGCTTAATAGATCACTAGTTTTTTTAGATACCATTCTTATGTACAGGTATCTTCTTCAAGAATACAACTGGTAACACAATCTTGGGAAACATTTCTTCAATCTGCTTAAACACAATTCTCTCGAAATATAAATGAGAAAGAAGTGCTGATATTGTAGCAAGTCGTTATTGATATGTGATCTGTGTTTGTATATCAATAACGTTTGCCATGGTCTCGAGGAGATAATGCAAATTTCTAATTTAAATACTTCAATGTTCGTTTTAAATCGTGTTTCATAAAAATTTTATAACTCACCAGATATCAAGTAGGAAGTTGCTGGTGTATAGTCACCGAATATGTCTAAGCTATATTCATCGTCTGCATCGTCGGATTCTAACTGTGCTGTCAATGGCCACGCTTCGTGTGCAGGCATCTTTTCTTAAAGAAAAATACAGAATATTGAAACCCGAAGTAACAAGTAGCGTGCATCGAGCTAAATTTATAAGCAAATCTAAGTTTAAGTGTGCTTCGAGGAAGGTAATAGAAAGTAAAACAGATGACTTGAAATGTAACGGCGAGGCTCTGGGAAGGGTCAATTTTTTTAATAATGTAAAATGATCATTTGTACCATTTTATTACAGACCGGCAGACACAGACGAACTTTCGTTTCTAGACTCTATCCTTTTAGGCCAGGAAAGAATATAAAATCTATAGATTTTTGAGAAGAATAAAGTGTGGCAAGAATATTTGTTTCCTTAAAGCAGATTTCAAATTTCTCATTTCCAAATTAAACACCAAAACATAACTTCAAGCTCCTGAGAGAAATCAACATATTTAGGTTCAATCATTGGCATTAAGTATTATATAATTAAGTACTCTCTAGTTTGCTTTTTGAGACAATGTTTTGCTGTGCGGATATGAACTTGAAGGGAAGAGCTATTGTCGCCATACCAACGGTATTATAATGTGAAACATAATCTGACTGCTAGTAATAATCATAAAAAGATTATTTAATTCAATATATATCATGGGATACATGTCTTCGCTCTTCTTTTACTAGATGCTCGTGAGATGCAATAGGAGAGGAATGAGTCCAAATGTCTGCTATATATACTTCAACATTTCTTTTAGATCGTGTTTCATAACATTTGCATAACTTACGAGGTGCCGAGTAGGAAGCTGTTAGCATATCATCATCGAAACAGCCGAAACCCATATCACTGCCTTCATCGTGGGAATCTGATAGTGCTGTCAATGAACACATTTCAGGTGCAGGCATTTTTTCTGAAAGAAAAATGTAGAATATTTAAACCAGAAGAAAAATTAAATAATCTATAGACTTTTTGAAAAACGAAATGTGTCAAAAGTATTTGCGTCTCTTCTACGAAATCAAACTCTTATTCTCAAATTAGACATCACCATATAAATATAAGTTTCTGAATGAAATCAGAATATTGAGGCTCAATCATACATATTAAAGATTCTATAATTAAGTACGCTCTAGATTGTTTTTTTTTCGAGACACTATTCTTAATGTTGCAAAAAAATAATGTTTTAGAAAAATAAAATAAGATATTTTCACAATTTCCAAACGGTTGAATAGAACTGATAGACCTAAATGAATACTGACTGTTATATAATTTAGGACTTTTTTAACAGTGGCTGAAAACTTGATTTTTCTAGTTCATATTTTATCTTAAGATTTGATACAGAAGTTTTTGAGCCAGCACCGTAAGCCAAATTAAAAAATATATATAACTTTGTCGAAAACGCTGTTGTCCTTTGATTTTGCCTTTAACTTTCGAGCAGGCATCAATGAAACAAGCAAAAGTCTAACACACTTCGTCCCAAAATTTTACCAAGCCGGCTAAGAGCCTTTTTTCTGAATTACTAACAGGTTTTGGGAAATACGTTGAAAAATCAAGCAGAGGTATTTTAACCTCAGGTCTTGACCATCGATAGATGTTATTACTCATAGAATATTTTAAGATTTTAAGTCGAAATAATAGTTCCTTTCTCGACATAGAATTTGACTTTCGTAGGAAATCGCTAGTTATTTGGTAATTCAATATGTCAAAATAAAAACATTCATTTCGGTTGAAACTTTCCGGATGTTGACAGAAACATCAAGTGCATCTATGAATAAAACCTGAAGTCGAAATTTTTCAGTTTGATTTCTCGATGAATATCCCAAAATCAATGGTGAAATTCAGACAAAATGGCCATAACCCGGATAGTTTTTGTATTCCATCTCGAATATTGTATTTATTTTATATGAAAATAAATTCGTGATAAAGGAAGTCTGGAAATGAGAAGAATATTTTTTTTCGAGCATTTTATTACTAATATTTAAAGATGTCACCATATTGATTTCTGTTTTCTAGAGCGAATATCAGTTATTTCCTATAAAAAAATAAGGTTGTATGGTTTCTTCTTTCCAAGTACTTATACTGAGTATTTATAGAAATATTAGTTCAGCCGGGTTAATTGTTTCGAAAATCTTTTCATTTAGGAGAAAGGAGCCTTAAAGAAACCAGATTTTCGATATTGACGTGGTTATGAATGATGATTTTCGTTTTTCTCTATATGTTCACGCCGTCAAATTTTGTTATGTGTAGCAGCTCATACGTTACCTTTACATTTCATCTCTTTTGCAAGTACTCGTAACGACGATGATGATGATGATGATGATAATGATGATGGTGTAGAGGGTACGTCAGTGGCATTCGGTACTTCACCCAACTGAAAAATAAATATTCGATTTCGTTATCAATGCTACATAGAGCAGTGGATTGACGTACCGACGCCATTATTTCTCTCATCTTTTCCAGTCGTTGGGTTTTTGTTAATCCTTTAAAGTGAAGTTTGAACCAAGAATGTTCTATAAAAATGAAATATTAGCATTCCTTTGGAAAATATGGCTGAATCTTTTTTGCCTGCTCAATTAATGGATATATTAGGTTATAGATAGTTAAATCAGGTACTAAATCTTTTTCAAAAAAGTTGTAATATTATGAATATTCAAACCATTGTTTTCTTAAAATAAAACGATCATTCTAGAGTAGGCTAATGATAAAATATGTTTCTACTTTACATAATCTGTTTCCACTAAATGATTTAAATGTATTCTCATAAACGATTTAACATCAAGATAAGTTTCCACCCAAAGATCAGTATACCCGTTTGCGAATATATTATGGATTTTTTTTTATGATTTTCTGTGTCCATCATGATTTAAATAATACTAAGTTTTGCTTTATTAATACGTCGAATCCAAAAGTTGAAATTTCATGATAGAAACCGAACTTTGTCTCTCTTAATTGGCTTACATTATTCGATTATCGGAAACGATTGACATCTCTTTTATTCAATTCAAAAACGAAACCCCTTATTTATTCTTCAATTCAACATGCAAGTCAAATCGCTCATTGGACAATACAATGTTCATAGTAAACAATAATTTACTCTATCATATCAAAGTACTTTTTTTTAAACCTTACTAATACACCATAATGAAAGCTTCGATAAGTATTGGAATAATCAAGGGGGGAAAGCGGCTCCTGGCGGCTCCTGGCGGGTTATGACGGATCCTCGTGGATCTTGCTGGTTACTACTAGTAGAGGTAGGGCAGTTTGCATCTAGTTCCGAATGGACCAACTGTTTACACCCGTCATCTAGAGCCCAGCGGTTCTACCCGATACCCGGAACCGCGGTTCCGGGTCCGGTTCCGGTTCTCAATGACGGAAAAAAACGGTTCCATTTTCGGTTCCTAAGAATTCTTTGGAACCGTTTTGAAAATTTTTTTTATCAATGGCGTATGAAATAATTGATTTTTTCGTAGCAAATTTACATTCCTTACTTTCCGAAATTGTTCATATAATATTCTTGAAAATAATTCTTTTCAAAAGCAAGCAAAAAGAGCGAACATATGAAAATCGCTTCAATACAGTATGTTTGCATCACATGGTCATCAGTTTAATGAGTTATACTAAAACTTGTTTTCTTTGTTTCATAACCGTCATCACAAATAACAATATCAAATATTTCGTCATTTCCAACACTTTTCTTGCTGCTGAAGTGCTAAACTATTCCTGATTGTGCAATGCAACAAAATGGATTGTCGATCACAATCGGTAATATTCATTTTCCGATCAGTTGGATTAGTTCCATTGAAAATTTTCTTACTAAGTTTATAGCAACATTAGATTTCTTTATCAAAATGCTGNTTGTTCTTATGGTTTATATTAGGAGGCACGGGTCTGGCGGTTCATGAACTGAGTTGAGGCGTTGAACAGTTCAGTTCTGTTCTCGAGAGATGTTGCAACAGTTCCTTGAAACTAAACTGAACTGCTGGGATAGTTGGGGTGAACGAAACTGAGCTATTCGAACAGTTAAGTGCAGCTCAAAAGAACTGTTCCAGCAGTTATTTTGATACGAGCTGATCGATTCCAATCGCTAAATACATCATTTGACTCTGTTCGTGAGCTGAAACTATCGTAGGTCTACTGGTTACTTGTAAATATGAGTACATAAGTATTATATCATTAACCCTCTCTCTTGGTTTCTTAAAGTCAATCTTAAGTTTGGTCAAATTAATCAATGTTGCTTTCGAAGGGTTTCTGATAGTATTTATTCTTGATCCTGGTCGATTCAGGTGAATTCCGGTGGCTCCTGGTAGATTCTGTCGGCTCCCAGCGGCTCCTGACGGCTTCTACCGGCTGCTGGAAGATTCTGCCGGCTTCTATGGATTCTAGGATCCATAAGGAGCCGCCGGGAGCCGCCGGGAGCCGCCAGGAGCCGCTTTTCCCCCTTGGGAATAATCCTACCGAGACTAAGCTGTTTGTCAAATACAGATAGTAGGGTTTAACTTCAAGTCAAAGATGATATTAGACAAAGGAAGCAAATCTTAAAATTTGTTCATTGCATTTATAGCGGACAGATTGTCTCTACTTACCACATTTCTTATCATCGTAGTCAACTGATGATTCGCTACAAACAAAAAACAAAATATGAAATTTTCTTTTCAATATTTCCTCTGTTTTCTTTTGCATACTCTTCATCACTTATAATTATCAAATTGTTATCTTGACATCGTTGTTGTAATGCTTGTCGTTCTTCTGTCGTTGCATTAATCATTTCAGCCTTAAGATCTATTTATTTTTCAAAAATCGACATCTATGAACGTTTATTTATGACTGAATAACATACCATTTCGCATTTGATCTTCGATTTCATTTGCTTTTTCATGCTCATTCAATGCATAACGATATATACGTATGATAGTCATCATCATATCAAATTTGGCATCGCCACCTGCTCGATAGGAAATTTTTTCACAAAGTTTTTCAATATTGACCACGGATGCTTTTTTGCTTTGAATTGATGCACTTTCGAGTGAAATACGTGCATCGATTAATTTCTGTTTGATTGTATCCAAATTTGATACATCACCATCCCATCCCATGTATGGTAATAAGTCAACATCTCGATCAAGCATAACATCAAGAAGACGAACGGCTATAGTAGAAAGTACATAGCAACTATTTTTTAATATTAATAGGCATTAGTAAAAAAGAATCAAATTTTTCTTCGGAATTTTTTGGACAGCTGAAACTTTAAGAAAAGAGCTATTAACAGGATGAGAAAATGTGTATCGAGATACATAGAATAAAACAATCTGCTTATGAGCATCGATAGCAATTAATTACATTCTATTTAACTTTTTACTAACCTGGTTGAAGAGTTTTTGCATCTGTTTTAGCATCACGTTCTTCGATAGCAACAAAACTAGTGTATGCACTAACGACTGAATGTTTGATGCTTAGATCAATGAGATCTTGCTTATATTGAACTTTCATCAGTTCGTTTTCGCTCTCGTCTACATGCAATAACCCATTATCATAATCATTGATAATTGCTCGAGCGGTTAAACAGTGTAGAATACGTCCTTTGGTCGTTGTCATTGCACTACTAAATACAGTCGTAACATATTGTTGTTCATTGATAGTAGCTGTTAATGTGGCCTTATGACAATTTTGTATAAACCGATAGATGTTAAGTCGCATTCCATTAAACAATGATCGAATTATTTTCGGTGCTTGCATATTAAATTTTTGTTGTTCGTCTAAACTGCCATGCCAATCAATTGATACACTTGTAACACATGGTTGTCGAACTTGTTCGAGAATATTTAATACTTTTGTTTTCCATTTCGATCGATAGTTCGAATCGAATACGGTTGTTAGACCACCTCCGCTTGTTCCATTCGCTAATTGTTTTAAACCATGTTTGTTAGCAACATTACCAATTGAACAGGCAAATATACGATCCAGACGCATAGTTGATTGATGTTCGAGTAAAACAAGAATCGATTGGAGATCATGAATATGTCCATCAGAGAGAATAATAAATTGTCGACCAGAGTTTGATGATGGTAGCAATGAATAACGGTAAAGAACAGCAAATAGATCTGTATTACCACGATGAACAAGTGAATGCTACAATATGTAAACAGATACATTTTCGAAAGGAAAAAATTACATTGAAAATAAACGACCAACCAGAACAAAGTGTTTAGCTTTATCAAGATTTTCTTTTGTAGCTGATGTTGAAATAGGAAAACATTCATCATTATCTAAATAGTTCAAATGTGAACTATAAAATAGTGCTGCAGATGATCATCTGATTACCTGATCCAAAAGTAACTACATTAAAATATGTATTGATGTCGCCTGCTTTCATATTCGTAAGAAACAAATGTGCTAACTGTTTAGCTTGTTGTACATGAGTACCGTCCATCGAATTCGACACATCGACAATGAATATAATTTCAATATGTTCGTACGAATTTGTCAATGTTTCGAATCGTGGATAAAACGTCAGCATACATGCTTGAGAGTCAACATTGTTCGATATTGTTGTTGTTATTCCACTGTCATCATCCAATGACAATGTTTCGTTTGATATTCGAGGTACATTAGCACTTTTGAGTGTTATCGAAAGAACGAAATCTCGATCAATTAAAACGTTATCCACAAGTTCGATCATGGCTAGACAATCGGTTAATTTTCGACGAAGACGATGTGTTGGCGAGAATAATTTAATTATTTCATAGGGCATTCGAATCGATGCTTTGAAACTAAATTCGACTTTTTCATCTACAATATCGATGGTTCGTACAATCGATTGATCTTTACTTCCAATCGCTTGTTTCGATTGCCATGAAGCCATTTTGGCTGGAAGACGAAAAATGATATCATCATTTTCAATTTCTAATTCAGCAACATAAGTTATCTTGATAATGACTTCATGGTTCGGTGGTAAATTGCCAACAGCTACACTGAATACTTGCGCTTGTTCTTGATGCATTAAATAAGCACCGTGACCCTTTTCAATTGCTTCTCGATATTCTTTTTTAGCTTGTTCTTTCTCTTTGACGATGCCCTTTATAACTTTATTGTTAATATGTGCTTCAAAACCGCATACAGCTGAATTATCATCAAGAGGAAATACATATTTGGCTTCGATCGGTATCGAACTTGTATTATGATAGACTTGGTAAAGAACAACCTTTTCGTTGAAAAGACAATAGGATGAACTACGTAGTATTATATCAACAGAAAGATAAATATAATTACTTCAACTGTAGTATCAACAATTTGAGCACGAACATGAAATGATTTAAGTGGTACGAGTTTTCCTGACGATGGACATATTAAACCATAGTCTTGTTCAGCTACTTCAATGACTTCATCGTCGATTGTCAACGGAACTTTGACTAGAACGTAACAGGTAAATTGATTGAATTTTTATTCTAACAAAAAACGGAAATTATTATTACCTTGTTCACTCAATTGTAATGTATGTTGTTGATGGTGAATAATCGGTAATCTTTCTAATTCAATATTGAGAGCATCATTTGGTGTCCATGACACTTCCACAATGTAGAGTAGACGTTGTTGATCGAGCTGATAGATCGCATATTCGTTATCCTATTTCGATAAAGAATAAATGTTTGCATTGTATGATTAAAGATGCTCGAAGTAGTGTTATCCTCAATGTTAAGTCCTAATTTGGTCTCTGATGGGGTTCAATTAGAGTTTCAAATCCATAGTAGCCATGCAAGAAAACTGATAGTGACCTAATTGAGACACGGAATCAGAGATTCTCGGTCTCACATTATGTATAAGTCTGATAATTTCGGATTTTTTTCATGAAAATCAAATCAAGGACTATTCTAACATAGATGAAAGATCAAAGTTCGGCGACAGATAATTATAAATATTCAATTCAATCCAATGTTTGTGACTTGAGAAAGAGCTACCCTTTTTTTTTACATGAAAATACATTGCTCGGATCTCGTTCTATTTCTCACTTGAACATGATGCATTGGCCACTTTTATTTTCTTAAATACAAGAAGACAGTTGAAACTCTTGTTTCCTAGAATGACATGTTACACATATTAGAAGACCTAGAGTTTTCTGTTTTATCTCTGAGAGAAATATTTTTTCGATACGACCAGCTATGGTCACCATTATCACGTTGTCATCTGTTTGATTAATTGTACTTGCACGTTACTACGTCAAGAAACGAACCAGAAAGCGCATCTCATTTTAACATTATTTTTTTGCATAGTAAAGTCTCGAATGATCATTGAAAGTACTTCGTATTTTTCAAATTTTTGCTTGCTGTATGAATAACAAGAAACTTTCGCCTCACATTCAATGCAAAATCTAATGGACTATTTTTTATAAAAGATGTCTTACGTTAAAACGTTAATTTGATTTTTGCTTTAATGTATAAAAGATCAACTTTCAAATACATTACTAGAATGAGTGTCAAAATTTAAAAAAATCATACCTCCTTATTTCTCGAAACTATAGACGCTCAATCAACTTCATACTACAATGTACAGAAGGCAACAAAATATTCTTCGTTTGTTCTACCGAATAATTTGCATTAGCGTAGGAATTCATTAAAACTTGCTCTAAATTGAGTTGTTTTAGATTAAGTGTATTGGGCTTTGCTTCGTTTTGACTGCTAAATTTTAAGCTGAATTTGAATGCTGACATTTTTAATATTTATTTGTTGACAATAAATTAGTGAAATTTACACTAAAGTCTCGTATATGTTCAAAAATGCTTCTGATGTAAATGTGGCCTTTTTAATTCAATATCGAATGGTACGTAAAAGTGTTTTCAACTACTAATTCAATCATTAAAACTAACAATATGAAAACTTGTCAAATAAGCGAATGATGCTATGTAAGCTCTAGCAAAATATTCTGACACGAAGGTAATTTCGTACAGTTGAAACAATAGCCTTTTTCTTCACAGCTGAGTTAACTACCTGGAATACTACAAAACACTTGATAAATATTTTAGAATTTGCCATCATTGTGTAGCATACATAGAGAATACAATGAACTATTTTTTTTCTATGAAACACAACAATTTTACGAAATGAATAGCATTACTTTGTGTAAACTCTACTTTATTATCGAATGCATCCTTTCGATATATCAGCATTTCAAGTGGACACGAAAATAATATTCCTAATAGACATGAGTGAAATACATCATGCACCAGTGTCTAAGAGGGTTCAGTATGTTGTGAGCTGACCCAGCCTGATCCTAGTCGGATTCTGCTGTCGACAACTCTTCTCCTTCTCTCGAGAAAAGTAATTTCTCAATTTCTTTTTTTCTTTCGTTCATTTCATGATTAAAAACAAAGAATAGACCTTTAATTTCTATTCGTTTTTAATGCTTCGTCGATATTTTATTATTGGCACGAAATGATTAGATGATAGAATTTTTTCTCATTTGCCATTCACTTGTTGTATATACAACCTGCAAGCTCGATTTCAATAACGAAGATTGTGTGAAAGTGAAAGAAAAGATCGAACCATATATACATTTTTGTTTCATTCAGCTTTTCCGCTTTATTGAATAGGACTTCGAAATAGACAAAACATTTAGACTGTATTTTGTATCTGCAAAATGTCTAGAATGCAGATCCACTTCAAGATTCAAATGTTTTTTTCGTGATCCCATCCGAGTCGAACACTATCATGCACAGTGTCCGTTGCCACTGCTGCACATTTTTCTATCACTCAGTGATGCAGCTGTGATCCGGTTGACAGAGCACAAACTACTTACAGTAAACATTGAATGATTTTCTTCCATTCGTTTAACTCCATGCGTACTATGAAAACCATCGGGAGGTTTAGTAAGAGTCGGTGAAAATGAATAATAGTTAGCCGATTCGCCTAGCGCTACTTGACAGATGCACAATAATCGTCGACCTGGTCGTGTTGTACTTGCTGTCGTATATTTCAGAGTTGTAGAAGCAGAATCAGAAAAATATATCCCATAACCGAGACAGCCAATATCAGTACGTACGACACCCAATTCTTCAACGACCATTTTTGGCATGGCCAAACCACTGAAGGTATACGGTCGCACTATAAATGCTGCCTAAAGAATGAAAAAAAATTACCGTGACAGAATTCCAAGAAAATTGGCATATTTCGATCCATGAAATAGTTGCCGTTGATGAGATAGTGATGTACAATAATTGAGTGCATCTGTTTGTTTGGCTACGCTGAAGACGTGATGAATAATAATTTTTTCATCGCTAGTGAGTAAAAACCAAATTATCACGATGAAATCGAACGTCAATTCTTCTCACCTGTCTGTTGACGATTGAATGAGATCAGCAACATTCTTAAATTCAGGTGTTGAACTATCTACCGTTTCAATGTGGCATTTTAATGCTCGATATTTAGCTTCGATTGGTGCTTTAACATTCCAATTAGTTAGTTCGTTGACTGTTATCATATCTCGAATCATCTGAATGATAAAGAAGATTAAGTGAAATATTCGAATGAAATAGACATGCTTGGCATAAATCTATTTTTTCGGTCAATGTTCGACGATTCTTTATGAGATCAACATTATATTCTGGTCGATGGGGAATAAGTGAATAGAAACGAAGTGCTGCAGCCGGATCATTGGTCAATTTAAGTTCGAGTAGGGCAGCTTCGGCTTCGATGATCTATTTAATAAGATAAGGTATTATCTATAATTTGAATGTATCAAAATGAATATGCATACCGTTTTAAGATTGATTGATTCAGGTTGTACGCTCAAAATCTTATTTAGATCACCTATTGATTCTAGCCAAATCGATTCGATCAATTGGCATGCATTATCATCGAGTATTTGTGTATCGATACGATGGGTAAATAAAGACTACAAATGTAACTTTGTTTTTGGAAAATATTTTCTCTTCGTTAACATTATTAACTTACACGTAACAATAGTTTTGATCCTAATTTGTCCGGTAACATCTCACGAATTCGTGTTACACGTGGCATTGTGGCTACTCGATAATAGTATGATGCAAATAATTGTAGCTGCTCGTTTGGATCATTGCCGAACGCATATTGTATCAAGACTTTTCTATCTTGTTTTTGACCTTCGTCAAAAATACTCCGTTTTTCGTATCGAAATCGTAGTCGATAATCGCTTGTTGTTTGATCGTAGTATGTTTCAGGAATAACTTGGAGTTCAAGAACAAAAAATACATCTGAATTATCATTAGTTTCCTGTTACAAACAGTGGAATTATAAAAGAACAATTGCTACAACATATGAATAAAACTGTACTTTAAAAATTGCCCATTTGCCAATTTCACAATGTGTTAACTCATCGAAACAAGGCAAATCGAAATCGTCCGAATTCCATATCTTGATTTTAATCAAATCGACTTTCTTAATTTTGATCGTATTTGTTCGAGATCCTAACAAACAGATATGTCTGATAGGATTTTTCAAAAAAAAAAGAAATCTAGTAATACCTGTAATGGAAATAGTGCCGGTCTTTGTAAAATTTTCCTGGTCTTCAACTGACTTGATGATAAATTTGCTAATATCGGCCGATGTTTGACCAGGTGGCAAACGACGACACTCGTACACATATTCAACATTGACCAGTGGCAAGCTGAGCTCTTTGGCACGACGTGTTTTGTAGCTGTCTACATTATTCGTGACTAAAACGTAGTCAGTCTACAAAAAAACAGTAGTCAACTTCAACGGCATACTTGTGAAATAGAAGTAGAACGTACACTAGCTGTAAGAATATATGAAATATGTGCTTTCTGTTCTCGTAAAAAGTTGATCAGTTCTTGTTTAGCTTTGAAGCCTATTTCATGGCCAAGTTCGAGGACAATTGATTTACCATTAAATGGTGACAAAGATGGAGTAGATGGAGTCGATTGTTTCATCTGAAAGTAATCAATAATTTCCTAACTAATCTACAAATATATTCATTTTGGCTTCCATTTTCATTTTCAAAAGAATAACATTGTTCGCCACTGCCTGTTTCCGTTGTAATCATCGAGAAGCACAGGTAGTTTTTTGTGATGTTTAATATTCAATTACCTGCTGTTTGGTAGAAAGAAAAAGAGAAATAATAAGTAGACCAATGCTGTTGACATTTTTTTCCTTACAATTCGGCACATGTCATGTATTTCATGTCATTGCACAAGTCGATGAAAGAGGTATATTGTGAAAATGTCGGCAAATCACCAAGCACGACACTAATGCACTTCATTATGGATGTTGTCGCCAATTGCATATATCAGTCGACTAGATATCTAAACTAGACGGCTTACAGAATTGTTAATGCAGAAAAACCAACACTCTCACGCAGAGGTCTTGTATTCAACCTGTAAAGAGGTTTGCAGCTGTCGCTACTTAAAACATCTACCTGTTTGATTATGGTAAGAAATATATTGATCAAGCACGCATTCGCCAAACAAAATCTGTCTTTAATAAAAATAAACCTAGATACGTAGAATATGAGTGAGCTATAAACAAAGCGCTCCGCGATACACGGACATGCATTTTCTAAAAAAATTCTAGAATATCAAGGTTAGTTTATAATACCATATCGTCGGAGACGAACTAGTGTTCGCCATATGATAAGAGGAAAAAATCTTTTCAAGCGATTCAGGATGTGGGTATGGGTGAGGATAATGTCGAATAGAAGACCAATAAGTGCATGTATACCTACATTAACATTTCCATGAGTACAAGAAAGTGAAAAAAATAGTTTTGAAAAAACGATTTGATTTTCAGTATTGTGAACGCAATCAGCTTACACTATGTATGGGGTGTGTGTGTAGAAGAGTATGGGTCTAGTTGAGACCAGCATAAATATCACGCCCATACATCGACAACCCGTTTTTACCAGTTACTCTCATAAGTAATCACAACAATAACAACCACAAACGTATCCAAAAATTTGTTGGCATATTTTGTTTCATATAGCTTTTTTTTCTGATTACTCTTGTAAAAATATCTCTATTTTTATCAGCAAATAAAGTTGCTGGCGTCAAATCACCGAAAAATGTCAAATTGTTCTCTGATTCTGACCAATTCGATGTTTCAGTACCTGAAGTGTAACACAGTTATTTATAGATCAAAATATAATTTTCCTTTACAAAAAATGATTAGCATAATAAACTCTATAAAATGGAATATACAAAGATTTTTCAGATGCCTATGTGTCTTTGTAATTGATTACACATGGAAGTAACCTATCACAAATTAACTGTAGTCGACCAGATTCTTGAGCGATTTCTTGTTTAAAAGCAGCTGAAAAAATTCTGTGATGTTTTGGATAGTCTACATAGGCTAAGCAAGAAGTCAAACATCGTAAATAAACTATTTAACTAATTGAAAAAAATTAGGAACATGAGGAACTCGAATCATATAAAAAAAAGCCAAAATCTATCGTTTATCTGTGGCAAAAAATACAAATTTTCTCTTTTGATTAGATTAGATTGAATAAAAGTAGTTTTAAGCGCTCTTATTACAAATGCTTTTTACAGAGTTAAAGCGCACACGAAAAGCTCAACAACAAAATGAGCAAGGTCAACAAATTGATTATGACTATGAACATCACCAAGAAAAATCAGAATAAGAATTAAAAGCCTACTAACGGGTGGATCGAAAGTTTTTAGACAAAATGTGTGCTCATTTTGCGCCTGCTTGAAAGTATTTCAGACGAGTCGAAACCTATGGATTAGAAGGAAAATTTTGTGCGCTTTCTGAATATGGGCTTAGAAATTCTGTATCTAGTTTTATTCAAGAGCACTGAAGGAATCTTTAAAGACCTTACAAACTAATTTGGATGACAGGGTGTGGGTGTCACTGCGCGTATGAAACCATTAATACCCATGCCCACACCCACACACCCTGAGTCTATATAGTGTTTTGAACATCATTTTCTATATTTTTGATTTCTGTATGGAGACGCTTTTTCACCTGAATTAGTTTGTATTTACTCGATGTTTGATCCCATGTTATAATGACAATTAGATGGTGTGTTCAAATTCAAAAAGAACTCATGACATTCAAAGTACCAATTGTGTCTAGCGAACTATATAAAATTGCAGCTAGTGAAAATTAAAACTGAAGGTTTGAATTAAGATTGTTATTAATACTTTTTTTTTAAATTTCCAAAAAAAGACGAAAATTTGACACTTAAGGATTTCTATTATAATACTTGAAATTAAATTTAACAGCTTTTGAATATCGATTTTATATTCACAAATGAGAAGAAACGCTGAGATCGACATGATGGGCTTTGACTTTGTCAATAAGGCAGAAATTGTAAAAAGAAAACAGTGCAAAATTCATTCTTTGTCAGGAAATCATAACACAAAACAAGAAATCCACGTATACTGTGTTTTCATTTTGTGCTGTCTATTGATGTTTTTATTGCAGAATAGGAAAAAGAGAATACTAATCTCTGATTTGCATACAAGGAAAAAAACACAAGCTGACTAAACAGACATAAATTTCTTTCTTACAAATTCGCATGAAACAATAATTGGGTTTTTTAAGAATAAATTATATTAAAAAAAACGAAGTCTATAATAATTAAAAATATTGAAGCCTATTGTCGCGGTAAACCATGTTTTGTGACCATTTCTAATGCTTTACGATCGAATTCAGCTCTGTTTTGTGAATATTCAGCAGCAATATCTTTAAAATAAAAAAAATATCTGACAAAACAGATTAATAAGAAATTTAAAAATTTACTTGTTTGAAGCACATTACTAAGATCTGGGTTATCAATAAGATTAACAATAGCTTTAACAATATCAACTAATGATGTTTTTGGTGAGAAACTATCTCCAACATTAAGTATGTTAATAGATATTTTGCCATCGTCGCTAACATTCGGGTGATAAATAGGTGTAATAAACCGAACTTCAGGTGGTTTAAATGGATAGGGTATGATTAATTTTATTTCTATTTGAAATGCAGCTTGATTATAAATTTGTGATCTAGGTAAAATTCTTCCAAGAATTACACTTGATTCTAGATTTTCCACAGATGTTGTATCAAGAAGAAATTGAACAGATGATGGATTATTATCTGTTGCTAAGGTTCGTAAATTTTCTATTTCACTCAATATTCGTTTTGAACTTGGTGTTGTCATTTTAAATTTCTTGATTTGAAAAAAAAAAGAAATATCTATTAGTAATCATTCGCTCATTTATTTAACGTATTTTGAAGACTGTACAATAAGTGTTTTTTTTTCTAAGCTTGGACTCGATAGTATTTAATATATATTTCAAAATCTATATTATTAGTTGAAGTATTGTAACTAATTGTAAAAGTAGGTTTTTTGAAATAAATCATGACTTTTCGAAAGCAAGACGACATGATAAAAACTTAGTTTTTCGCTAGGTATGACGAGAGAAAAAGTGAATCCGATTAATGCAAATGCGTAACTTTTAGCGAACAACTAAGATGTTCCTTCGCTTCTATATATAGCATGATACTTTCTTTCTTTCTGTTCTATCATTCATGTTTTTTTCCTTCTTTCCCCTTTCCTCTTTCGTATTCTTTGATCTATTCGTTTAAACTGTTTTTTTTCCAACATTTAGACAATCGTGATATTATTATCGTCTTTCTCCCCAACTGTATCGTACTACGCAAATGGGAATAAACTAAGAAGTTATTATCTTCTCCCTATATAAGTGTTGCGCTTTCTCTAATAAAGGTGAATAAAAAAAGGTTTCAAAGAAACATACTTATTTGACCAATTGATAAAACTGTAACAGTAACATATAACAACAAAATTCAAGTAGAGAGCGAGAGAAGAAACTAAAATTGTACTGTTGGATTTTTCACTAAAAGACAAATGATTGTGCGAGTAACGAATGAAACAACATACGTTGGCTGCAACAATATCGGTATCTTTCTAAACTATAGAATGTCATAACAAACATTATCAAAAAATTAATTTTTAAGACAAAAAGCTATACTGCTATGTCTTTTTGTTCTAGTTACCATATCCTTTTTTTCTCGTGTCGGAGCGAAGTATGCCTGAGGTCTGTGACGATTTTTGGATAGAAGAAGGGTTAGAACTGATGGAATTACGCCTGATTATATTTCTTCTTATCAAGAATCGTATCGTTTATGTACACAGCACACGTTTATATACGTAACCAGAAGAGACAGAAGAAAAGAAAAACAGAAATAGAACAGAAGTAGAAGATATGAATAACCGGAAGCAAATTTATGAGAAAGAACAGATACAAAAATATCGCTACAATGTACCTGTGGGAAAGGACAAGGGGGGGGGATGCAGGTGTGGGTGTCACTGCGCGTATGAAAACATGAATACCCACACCCTGAAGTTAAAAATGATGGTTGAAGGTAGTATCTGTTAACGGTTTTCTTATGAAACAAAACTTTAAAGTATCTTCTATCACCAAGAAAAAAATGAGCTCATTTGATCAAAGGACAGTGAAGAGATTCAATTTTTTTATCCGTTCGGATTTTTGGGACACCCTGTACTTTATAGTACTATTGATAATTTCGAAAGTCTGAATATTACTTTAAAGTAGTTTTGCAACAATCGAAAGTACTACAAATTACTGTTGTAACTATCAAAGTTACTATAAAGTACTTTGGATACTTTCGAAATTACGAATATCACTATAGAGTACTTTCGAAACTGTGAATATTACGCTGAAGTATTACTTTCGTAAGCATTTATAGTACTTTAAGGTACTTTTTAAAGTATGAATAGTTTGATAAACTACTGTTCTAGTAGAAAAATTCATTCGATGTACTTTAAGGATGAGAGAATTACTATTAAATAATTTTGAAAGTCGGAAAAGTCCGCTTAATTACTGTAAAAAGTGGAAAATAGTGGTAAAAATTAATTTATTATACTTTATTAATACTAAAAGTGCTTTTTAGTGTTTTTTTTTTCACTTTTTTTCATATGGGTAGTCATCTACTATTGTGTGTTCTACCATCATTTTACAACTTTATAACTTATTTCTCATTGCGGAAATAACTCTGATAAATTTCATCTTTCACTAAACTCTGAGGAGGATTATGGTTGAACTTTTCTATAAAAAAAAGTCTCAAAAACATTTGAAATGCACATAAGTCGGCTCAGTTTTTGATGCTGGTTCAAAATATGATGTAGATGTTGATCAAAGTTTAATTTTTGCTAACCCGAAATCTGCTAGATATCATTCAAAAAAGGTGCAAATTCATGCAATTGAAAAATGTTCTCGCGTCTTTTTTAACTCTTTTTGAAACTTATTTGTCAGAATCTTTACTAGACTTTTGCAGAGCACAAAATTCTCTACTGGTTATACTGCATTAAAGTTTCTCCAAAAGTGATTATCATGTGGGAAAAGGACTAAATAGTGGAAAACATTTGATGTAGAAAATGCAGCTTTTCGGAAAACAAAATTTCAATATTAAGGCTCAATTTTTTAGAATGATCTAAAATGCTTTTTATTAAGTTTTATGTGCTCTTTCGAATGACAGATGATCCAATCTGACCAAACAAAAAATGACGAAGATGTAAGCGAAACAATGGTGCTGGTTTTTTTTTGGTTTTCTAGAGACCTTCTTATGTTCCAATGCTTGTAACTCCGTCAAATTATATCACAGGAGATCAAAAAAGCTTTTATAATCCCAGCTATCTTTTAGAAATCGAATCATGTAAAACAAAGTAAATGTCATTTACGACAATTATATCGACTTTCTCGAATGCCTCATAAAGTCTGTCTTCAATAGGCGTCACATAACCTTCTCTCTTGCATATACTGATAGTACAAAAACTTCTCAACACATATACCCTTCAAAAATATCAAATATAGGCATAAACCCTTTAAGAGTTAATTGGAAATTTTATGTGCAAAAGTTAATTGTTCAACGCTCTTTTGACAGCAACGTTTAATGACAAATTCATTAGCTAAAGTAAAATTGAGTACAGATATTATTGTCACTTCGATGCCAACCGCTTCTAATATTCTTAGCGTCTTCCTGTCATGCAAATAAAATTCGAAATAGCTTCTTCTCCCTACTGAATCATATTAATAATTTACTCACCACTTTGAAGCAATTGCTCGTGAAACTTTCTGCGAGGATATTTAGATAGAAAAAGTGCTTGTGCAAAAGGAACTACAATTTATTTAGCTTCTTCATATCAATCATAGCATCGTTTACATATCGAACATTCGTTTATATACACAACGAAGAAAGAGAAACGAGAGCAAGGAACAATAAAAGGAAAGAGAGAGAGAGATATGAAGAGGACGATGAGAATAACTGCGTGGCAATTACAGAAGAGGATATGAATATCGGTATCATAACATTTGCCAATAAACTATTCATATTAATGACAGAAAGAAGGACAAAGCATATGTTGATGAGAAACGCCGAGAGAAGGTTAAACATTATTTAAGAATACTCAATTAAATAAACAGAGCTGGAATTGTCACATTTTCTCTTTAGCACGATGAGGTGCTGCTGTTGTATCGAGTCTTTTACATCCTACAGTAGTAAATTTTTTGTTTCTCAAATGAATCGTTACTTGTGCATCATGAAAAACCTATATGTTGTGTTTATCTGCTTTTGGTTCCATTCTCATGTTTTTTATTCTCATAAAGTAAGCATTCTTTTGAAAAATATTCTAGGGTGAAGCGTTATAATCCAAACTTCATATATGTACTGTAAGATAATTTAACGCATTTCAAAATAGTGTGACGTAAATTACTATGGTTCTGAAAACTTCAATTAATTTTCTTTTATTTCTGCGGCTTTTCTAGCTAATCTTTCTTCTTACATCAAAATTATACTAGCACAACACAAGCTATTTTATAACGAGGCATCACACTGTAAAATAATACGTAGAAAAATAAAGCCCTCGAAAACGGTTTATGACAGTCATAAACCGTTATGTTTAATCTTTGAATGTCTTTAACTAATTAGCTTCTTAGGAAGATCAGTTTTCTATTGTTTTTTTCATGTTCAGCTAATTCAGGATTAATATAAGCTAGCTTTTCTTGTTCCTTAAGAAAGTTTTCAATTTCTTGTTTTTTCTTTAATATATTCGGATTTTCATGTTCAGAAAGCGAATGTTTGCAATATTTTATAACAGTTTCATAATCTTTTTCGAACCAACTCCAATTGTCTGATTATAGTGATTTAATGTTGTTTAAATTTTGTGGAACTCACATCTATTTTCGAAGAAAATAGGGAGTGTCAGTTTTAAATTCAAGTTTTGGCGGCTTTCTCCCCTCCCTCACTATTGACAGCCCCCGTTACAAACCTCTTCATGCCAGACCTCTTCATGCCAGACCTCTTCATTACAGACACCCCCCCCCCCCCCCCCCCCCCCCCCCCCCCCCCCCCCCCCCCCCCCCCCCCCCCCGACCCCCTCCTACCAGACCCCCCCCCCCCCCCCCCCCATCCCACCATGATAGGCAAGCGCTTATTGCAGACACTAGTGATGGGATCAGTTCGGTTCGAAATTTTGAAAAATTCGATCGATTCGGTTCGGTTCTAAATATTCGGAACCGATTTCCATTCAAATATATATTTAACTTTATTAGAGTGCTCTAACATACATCTTTATTTCTTATTCTTTTCTCTTCTACTTTCCTATTCGACCGTGACAATTTCAATAAATTTTCACTCTTTTCTTCTGTTCTAAATGCAAGGGCATTCTAATAGAAGAATACATTGAACGTTATCTTCTTTATATAAAATAGTCTAGGCTGGAGTAGAGGATACTTATTCATCTCTCTCCTTGTATTTCATTTATATATTTCCCTCTCTCTCTTATGTATGAAAATACATGTATATGTAAAAGAAGGGTTTGGGTGTAGGTGTGGTTTGAGGGTGTGGGTTGAGGGTGTGGGTGTGGGTGTGGGTGTGGGTGTGGGTGTGGGTGTGGGTGGGTAGGTGTAGGTGTGGGTGGGTGGGTGTAGGTGTGGGTGTGGGCATGGGTATTGATGCTTTCATACGCGCAGTGATATCCACACCCACACCCACACACACCCAAAAAACATATCGGCCTGTTAATTTACTTAAATAACGTTTAAAAGAGTGATTTAGTACTGTATTTCCTTGAAGATGTTTTCAGTTACCGTATTTTCAAATGAAGAATATTCCATATGATAAAGTTTATCTAAATACAACCACATTATATTGTTACTCTTTCTACTATACATTTTCTTATAAAAGAAAAATTTTATTTGTTTCTTTATCTTATTTTGTTTTCCAAAATAAGCTTAAGTTAACGCTCCTACTGAAAATGGATAACTTGACAGAAGAAACAAAGAATCAAATCATCAAGTTTAAAGATAATAAAGATATCGCAGAAAGAGTCTATTGTTGGAAATTTCAAGTGAATACAAATTTTAAAATAATTTACATCGTCTCATCCTAATAATCCTTATTCAAGCGATGGGATTCTCACAGAAGTTAAAAATCTGATTGGAGAAAAATGAAACATTCCTTAGGTAACGTAAAGGTTCTTATCATTTTGAAGAATATTTATACAGTGTATGCGTGTAATGGTAGTTTTGGTTGAGTGTGTAGGTGCAGATGTGAATTTTCTTGCTGCAACTACCCACATCCGCCATTGGTGCGATATACGTATACGTATATAGATAGATAAATAGATAGTGCAAAATCAATATAATAACTAAAATCAAACATACTACGAGTGCAAAGAATATTATGAATTTTATATAAATCAGTAGAACGATGACAATTTTCATATATTTTGTCATGCTCCAAAATATTTATGGCACGATATATACATAAAAGTAACGTTCGTCGAGACTCGATTTACTTGACCATAGACCGTTGCCATAGAACTATGCATATAGGTGCATCCAGATATAAACGTACATTAAGTAAAGTACTATTGGGTTGATGCAAAAGTGTCCGCCGATTTTTTTTCTTTTCAGTTTTTTAAAATTTTATNATGGTACATAGGAGTGTACAAGATCATCTGAAGAAAACAGTGAAAGAACAATATTTTGTCATAATCTTTTATGCCATTCGATAGCGGAAAGAATGAGCTTTTATTTGACATATAGCGCAAATAAAAAAGTGTTTAAAATGGAGGCAATATACTTCATACGCACACTGCATACCGCAACCTTATAGGAAACAGACAAGATCATAATTTTAAGTTACTCGGGTGCAACCATAACTAGGGCTAACTGGTTAATTCGAACAATAATCGACTTTTGACATCTCAATAGACTATTTGGAAAATGTGAAACTCAATTTCGAGAGGGAGCCGATTTCATCGCTTAACGCCCCTCTCCTCTTTTACGTGTATTTCTATAGAAAATGGATTAGCTTTGAATAAGAGCTTACAAATGATTCTATAAGATCACGAGCTAAGTCTTGCGTAACTTGGTAGTGTTTACAATATAATTTAAAATCATTCCAACAAGAGTTCTATAAATCTGATATTTTCGGAAATCATTCATTACCAAAAGCACTATTTCATCGATAGCCTCCTAACTCGCAAAAACTATCTAGAAATTCATCTTTTCTACCACAGAAAATACTTCTTACATCATAACATAGCTTGATTGTTAGACATGACTCTCCATGAGAAGTCGAAAAAAAAAGATCGTTATGCTCTGTATCTGTTGGTTATGATTGGCTCATCGACAATTTATTTATTTATTTTTCTGATTGAGATAAGTTTGTCATGTACCGTCATAACATATGTGAATTTATGATACTAGCGTTCTGAGAAATACTTATATATCTCGAAAAGATAACAATATTTTTTAACGATGTATGTCAAAATCCTTAAAACTCTTTCTTACACAACATATGTGAAATAAAACAAAATCTAAAAATTTTGACTAAAGGCAAGCTCAGTGATGGCTTACGTAGACTGGATTATATGTCAATTGACTCGACTTAAGAGTATGACTTTATCAAAGAAAGACTAATGAGTCTGCCATCTGTAAAAAAAATGCTGAGCTGCTTCATTTATTATAAAAACGGAAAGAAACAAAAACTCCATTGTCGAGCAATAACTGTGTTCTAGAAGCCACGAAGCTTACATTCATATATATTTGTATCATTAAAATAATCTATTTTTATTGAAAACAAACTAGTGAAGAAACGACATAACTTTCTATCATTCTGCAAGATATTTAGTAGATTTTAGTTACAAAAATAAAGATTAGATGAAACCTAATAGCGTATTATGAATCAGCATAAAAATAGAAAGCAATTTATGTGTGTTTAAAATAGTCTTTAGATGTTTCACTTCATTAAAGAAACTTTCTTCTATTGTCTCACGACAATGGAATAAAAAAAACATGTTCCAACAAACCACTATATTTACTATTAAATAGCTTTCAATTTTTATTCTTCTATCGTTATACAAGTCCATAGATTGTTTGTAACTGCAGAAATTAGTTTTAGATAGAATTGGTTTTTTGACTCAATCATCGAGATGAGTTTTTTTCGATGAAAAATATTGCTCAAGAATATTTGAAGCACGCATAAGTCGGCTTCGTTTTTTATTCTGATTCAGAATACACTATTAGGTTTCATCCAATCTTTATTTTTGTATCTGAAATCTACTAAATATTAAGAAAAAGACATATCTTAGAATATTACCAAACATATTATTGCTAGATAAAAGAATACTCTTTTCCATTATTTTCTCTTGTTATTTTGATAATAAATGATACACCTAATCTTTTTACATAAAGAAATCATTTATCTGTTTTTAACATAAGAAAATATTTCTTTCATTTCCTTATGCTTATTTTTTCAAAGACCATTAAGCATTCATTATCAAGAGGTATGCTTTTTTCAAAAAATTATAAAAATCACGTGGATTTTCTCCACAAGAAGATAACATGACTTGTAGTATAAACAAAGCATATATTTGTATCTGTTTTGCTTGAATAAAAGAACAAGTTCAATAAGTGATTTTGACGATTATTGGATAATTAATCCAATGAGAACTTAGACATTCAAGATTACTTTATTATATATGAAATTGAGTAGAAGAATATGGGAAAATGAAACGAAATCATTGAATTTTACAATCTCTGAATAAAGTTTTCATTGAAAAACTGTGTAATCACAGTCGAAAAGCATTTTCAATGTTTCATTGTTGGAAAAGAAAAATTCATTTTCCATCTTTTCTTTATCTTAAACGAATGACTTAGCCGAAAATAATTGATCCAAATAGAATTGCTCTGAAGAGCATTACATAGCATTGTTTAAATACATTTGATCAGTGTGTATAGATTCATAAAGTTGATAGATATCAATAAAAATACAGAGGAATCACAACGAATCATTTTGATTAACAGTCAATAACAATGTCGATTATAAACTCATCTAGATTTTACGGACAAGTGTCAACTCGTTACGTGAGAATACGGAGGCAAAAACGAACAAAATATTGACAAAGAAGAAGAATCAATGTGAAACAATGTATAGATTGTTTGAGAAAAACAGTATCTTTAAAATTATGGAAAATGTTAAAAGCAGTCTATTATTTTAAAATCTTCTTGTCTCATTTGATATGCATATCATCAAGAGAGTTAATCGACAGCCTCTTTAAATGTTAATGTTATTTAAACAAAAAAAAGGTGATTGATATTTTTTGAACTTTGAAATTCGTTACTGCATGTCTTCAAAAAGTATCTAATCAATCTTCTAATTATTTCTTCCATACATAGTAGTCTCAATGAGACTTATTCGATTAAATATTATTTGATTATTACATCATGCTTGTGCTTGTGCAATATGAGAACACAGATACTACATCAAACCTAATGAAAAAGAGTCAAATTAAAAATTAACGGCAACATCTTATAAAGCAACGATGTCAATGTTTCCAATCAAAACCATTTCCACAACTGACAACTCAATCGAGTATCTCTAATCATATCATTTAAACAGATAAATTACAGGTTACTCGAAAGTTCCAAACAGAAAAATTGAACTACTAAATTTGTGATGAATATTCTTATGAAAATATATTCATTATTAAAGTTGCTTCATGGGAACTATCACTTTCTTTTTATTTGAGAAAAAAAGACTCTTTTCACATAGTTTTTTTGAAGAGTTTTTTAGATTTTTGTTTCCTTATTGAAAAGACAATGACGGAATGAGCCCATAGAATTTTTATCAGGTTTTCGAAGTTTTCACATCAAGCGCATTCTAGACGAGAAAACAGTTTTGTCCATAAAAAATTTCCCTATTGACATTTAACAATAGTGATTCAACATTGCAAAGAACATTTTAAATTTGAAAAAATTCCAATAACAAAAACAAAAAAATCAAATTGATCATTGAATTAGTCATATTCAATAAACTATTCACAAATCGATTGCCATGGACCGTAAAGTTATTGATAGTTCGATTCTTTGATAAAAACTAAATTATAGATCGATTTTGTTTAAATTCCTAGTATTTGAAAGTATCATCTAAATATCTCTCGTAGTTCAGTTGTCTTTTCAATCTTCCATTATTTGATCACAAGAGATAAACAAAACTATAGATTTAAAATTTTATTTTTCGAACAAACTAAAATAATATTATAATTTCTATGCTTGTTCTTCACGTCATTTCCTAATATTGTCTTTGATATAATCACTTGAATATAATTCATATTTTCTTTGCCATTCATAATCACGCCAAAAGTCGAATTTTATTTCACCAGCACACTTTTTCTATACCAATTGATATTACAAATGGTCACAACTATAAATTCACCATTACTTATATATTAACAATGTGGATCACATGAATGATTGGGGAAAAAAAGCATTCCTCTGTGATCTTTTGTGCTGCATAAAGGCATGGTACATTAAATAAATCATCATTGATCGTATTAGTGTAGTAGCAAATAATATCCTTGACTTCAGATTGTTCTAGTATCAATGTGAGTGCTTCGTCTCGTGTTCCTTTATAATGTGTATCGCCTATCAGAAAGTAATTGCATCCAGACGGATCACATTCGAATACCAACTGTTTACATTTAATGGGTTCGAGAGCAACAGCATCATGTGAGTGTGATAGAAAAAAATGCATGAAACATGAGTCAATATGTATTATTTTTTAATCTGGCTACTACTACTCAAGAAGCATAAAACCATACAATGACAGTTCTAACATAATTTTGTTTTGTCGAAAAGTATTGTACTGATACGCTCATGGCAATATAGGCCTACAGAAGATTTGAATTTCAATGGGAACTGAGATAGTACAATTGGTTTTCGATGTTGTCTTAAATATTAATATTTTGATTCTATGTTCTTATTATAATCGATTCAAATTCATTAATAATGTGTTCAATGCACCCATCTACTACCAAACAAAAAAGAATAGATTTTGCTTGATGTCTACAATGAGTTTCTATTCATATGAATTCTCGATTTTTAAGTTCAATGTCTTGCCGATAAGTTGACCATTAAGAGAATATTTTCACCGATGTAACTTTCATCTCTATCGGTGTGTCTATATAGAACAGATGATTTTATGTAAATTGGAAATATAAATAGCGTTTACGTATCCTGAAGGAAACAGAAGTGATTTCAAAAAATGTGTACATGAGTGCATTAACATAAAAAAATAATGTCTTTCACACCAATGAGAGCAGATACTAAGCTATGAGGATGTGAATATGGATGTAGGTGAAGCTTCTTTTTCTGTATCCACACAGCCATGGTCACACCTCAAATCTCATTTTGTATTCGAATTCCTGACCCTCTAAATGCATGAGACAGCTGTTTTCATATAAAAATCACCATGATTAATACGTACTTTATTGATTATACGAGACTGAACTTTTGGCTCAAACAGGCACGACTCTTATAACTTGTGAATGTGAAATCTGTGAATCACACTTTTTGAATAATGCTGTGCTATAACAGCAGTTTTCAGTGCAATATCTATTAATATCAGTGCATCTCACTCAGGTGTAGCTTTTTCGTAGTATCTAGAAAAGAGATAGCATCGCATACACTTTATTACTACTAAAGAATGGATATGTGTCAAGAATAGAAGAATAAGTTTTTATGTGTTGAAATTGGTATTTTAAAGTGAATGGTAATTTTTGAGATTAGTCATACTATCATGAAAAGTTCGACGGTATCGTAAGCTATAATGATGTATTTGAAAACTGAATGATAAATAAAACTTTGAAAATCTATGAAAATGTTACTTTCTCCAGCCAAAATCGAATGATAATGAAATCATTAAGTATTTATTCAATTTTGTTAGATGCGAAAACATTTAGAGCATTTTTTTATTACTTGACAAAAATACATATCCCTGAATTGAAATCGAGTGACGAACTTGAAACTCTCTATGGCGAGAATCATTTGACATTGATTAAATATATTTAAGTATATATTTCACTATCTTAATAATGATATATATGTTTGTGCTGACATGAGTAATCGATCGATTGATCACAATATGCACAAGTCACATGTTTTATAAGTCTTTCTACAGTATAGATTTTTTTGTGAATGAAATGTTCTTACTTCTCTTTAAAACAGATTAACCTTGTGAGAATAACACTTCTATGATTTAGATGCAACTGATTCGAGTGGACAAAGTACAGACGTTACTTGACAAAATCACCTATGATTTATGAAAAAAAAAACCTATTTGTAATTATGCATAGATATAGCATGTGATTCTATGTCATTTTGCATGGTAGTATGGGCTCTATACATCGCATGAAGACGGCGAAACAGCAGAAAAAAAAGAAAGAAAGGTGATATGTGTACATATGCATTACTATTTACCATCAGACACGCACGGTTGCCACTTTTTTTGTCCAACGCGTTGCTATAATGGTGACTCCTCTGTTGCTTTTTTTCGTCATTATATGGATGATTTATCTAAAGTTGAAATATTTTACACTTCGTGGTCCAATACCTGGATTGTCTCCACATTTTATTTTTGGAAATCTTATTCAATTGTGTTTATTATTAGGCAAGAGATCGGGATCTGATGTCTATATATTGTTTACGGAACGTTTTTGGTGATATTTATTAATATTGGCTTGGTTCTATACATTACATTGTTGTGCATGATATTGACGATGTTCAGTACGTTCTTACGCATAGAAATATTTACGATCGAGGGAAAGTATTTTTAGAAAAATTTAGCTTCCTCGTTCCTGAGAGTATCATTTATAACATAGGTATCGCTTATTTGTTTAGTAATAACAAATATTTATTCATTTTGGTTACTATTATAGGTTTCAAATTCAAACGACATGGTGCTCTTACTATGCCGTTATTTCGTCGTAGCAAAATTGTTTCGAATATTAACACAATTGTTGGTGGTACAGACAAACTATTAGATAGATGGCGTGCTAGACCACATGATCAAATGCATACAGATATTGTTGAACAGTGTCAAAATCTTTTGCTTGAAATATTTGGATTAATTGCTTTTGATTATAATTTAGAGACACTTGATAGTAAATATTCCAGCAATAAAAACGAACTGATCGAAGTCCTATTCGATATCATGAGTACATTTAAAATGGCTATATATGTACCTAGTTTTGTATCAATTATCTATATGAAGTTGAATACTCGATTTCAACGAGCAAGAGCAACAGTCGAACAATATTTTAATAAAATGATCGAACAAGAATTGACTCAAAGTCCAGAGTCGAGAGCACAACGAAAGAAAACTTCATTAATCGCATTACTTGTTAATTCATTACAAGATGATGAAAAAGCTGAAGCAAGAAAAAAAGGAGGAAGATAAAAGAGATAAAATTGATTCGTTAAACCTTTGATTTGATTCATCATATCCAAAAATTTGTCATGTATTTGCACGATGAATTTTCTTTTTGAAGGATCGCATTTTTTATTTGATGCAACTAAATTCTTCGTGTCTTCTAAACGCTATATCAACTGATTTATGAATCAAAAATTTCAATATCTATTGAGTTTTTGCTATGGGTAAAGTTGTTTTGTACTAAAATTCCAAAGAACGAATGATCATACTCATGTTTCTTCAGTAGTGTCAAACTTGAAACTTGAATTCAATTATTGAAAAGTTGTTTCAAGTATTCCAGTATTCAATCATTACATTATTGCTTTTCGACCAGTCCCTTCGCCGCACCCACACCTGAGATCGTGATGTGTGTGTTTCTCTATGGTGTGTGCTCCCTGGAGCACTGTTGAATAATTGAATAGTTGAATTTCAAGTATTCAATAACTGAATTCTTGAATTCAAGTTTCAAGTTTGACATATATGCTTGCCAGGAAAAACATTGCGTAGCATTTATTTTTTAATTACTTCGACTGTTGAATGATTCAGATCTTTAAATTATCCAATACTTGAGCGGTATTTTCACAGAATTTTATCTCGGTATATCTTTATAAAAACAAAATAAATAGTTCCAAATCAAAATTCAAACAATCAAAACGCGCATCATGCATGAATTTTTCTGCAAAGAGACAACAGACTATAAATCTGTTTATTTTAGTTAAAGATCTCAGCTTTGAACAATGCTTTTGAAGTTTGTCTATAGAAATAAAATCTGCACTTATTTATCTATTATACAACCCAAAATGAATCGATGAAGTTTAGTTCGTAGTGAAATGAAACGGAAAAACTTTCAGAAAATTGAGAACTGTTAAAAGTCATGAAAAACATACTGTTTCTGACTACTTCTAAGTTTGACTTCATCAAGATCGAAAACTCTAGCGACTTTTAGTGTAAATTTCGAATTATATTCTTGGCTGTTGTGTAAAGTATGAGCGCTTACTAAGCAAAGACTAGTAAATCATATAACTTTTAGACACTATAAAAGCATTTAAATCACCACAAAACTCCGAAAAACTAGACTCAATGATCATTAAATGGTCAAATGGTTCGTTTGAGAGGTGACCGATCACTTCGTCGCATGACACTTCGTCGCAGAATTTTTTTCTTTCTGTTCGTCGCAGATAAATTTCTTTCGTTCTGTTCGTTGCAGAAAAAATTCTTTCTCTATGCTCATCACTATCCATTCGTTGCATATATCTCTTAATTATTTTTTTTTAATGAAAGATGTAAAATTAATNGGTACCAAAAATCTGCATTTTTTTCGCTATTTAAATTCAAGACACTACATTAATACATAGGATGATAGAGAATTTCAAGCGCTATCAGAATATGTAATTTCTTTTGGAAAAAATTATTCCTATAGGAATAATAATTGGAGGGAAAACTAAAAAAAGTGGCGAAAAAATGCAGATTTTTGATACTTGTCGATTGAGGGTGCGTTCATTGTACTCAAATTATTGTTCAATAAATAAATGTAAGACAATAGCTAAATATATGGGATGATAGAGAATTTCAAGCTCTATCAGAATATATAATTACTTTATTTTAGAAGGATATTTCTATAGTCAAAAAGTTTAAAAAACTAGTTGAGGATACAAAATCTTGTCTGTGGGGAATCTGGACACGAGGGTGCTTTCATTGTTCTCAATTTATTTTGATAATGAATAGGTCGAAACTAAAACCTAATTATAGAGAGTGATAGAAAACTCCACGGGCTTTCAGAATATGTAATTACTTTTAAAAAAGTGTAGTCTTATAGTGGAAATATATTCGAAATACCGAGTCTAACTATTTTTGTCCGGGGGGATAAAACGATAGTAATCTTTCATTGATATTGACTTCCAGCTTATTGGAAACAGAATGTTTTATCTTGTGATGTATATCACTATCAAGCATCACGAAATATAGTGATATGCAAACATTCAACAATAATCAATAGCAAAAAAAAAAAACAAACAAAAATTTTAGGCAGAAAAGAAAATAGTCTAACCGGTCAGACATACACTGACTTAATTCAAACTGAATTAAGAAACATGATTGGCGTTGCTATGTAGATACGCCAATCATGTTTCTTAATTCATTTTGAATTAAGTCAGTGTGATCGATTGACCCCTATACAAGGAGAAAAATTGAGCAAAAGAGAAAATCATTACAGTTAAATATGAATATACACGACTTGCCTGATGAAATTTTACTTCGTATTTTAAACAAACTGAATAATATTGATATACTCTATTCACTTGTGAATGTAAATCAACGATTTGATAGATTAGCACTTGATTCTATTTACATTCGTGATCTTGATTTTACAGTTAATGATATATCTGAAGAATGTCATCAATTTTTCGATCGATTTTCTACAAGTATCTTACCTCGAATTCATCATCAAATAAAAAAACTTACTCTTGAACAATTTTCAATAGAACGTCTTCTATATATTGTTGATTATCCTCAACTTTATTCATTATCACTTGTTTTTTCTCAACCGGAAACAATTTTTAAATATTTAATAGGTATATGATTTAGAATTTTGTTTAGTTTCATGAAACAATTTCTTTTATGTTTAAGGTGATACAATACTTATTCGTCTTCTTACTAAACAAATTACTCATTTTAATCTAAAGATCAATTCCAGAACAATTGAATCATTTGATAGATATGAACCGACTTTGTTTGCAATGATATTATCATTTGCCAAATGTTTAACCGATTTCACTTTTCTACAATCCATTCGAGATCCTTTAATAAATTCAATTTTTAATCTATTTTCAACAAATTGTGTATCGTCAACTTTGACTAAATTAAAAATTGATGTTAATACTCTCGACGACTGTCTTTATATTCTTGATGGACGATCCGATTGTTTATCGACATTAATTATTGATATAGAAACAATTGGACCTCAATTATGGAATATAGATACTACAGTAAAGATACATTTGATTATATTAAACTAAAAATGATGCTTTTCTTTATAGAAAAAAATTTCAAAATTGAAATATTTTTCATTAACTTCGACTTCAAGAACATCTTATTATCATGAACTTGTTCCATTATTTCGTCGAATGACAAATCTCGAAGAATTAACATTATTTCTTTTCGTGAAAAGAATCAAATCGACTTATATTGATGGAATTCATTTAAATGATGAAATTCTCATTCATATGCCACGATTAAATAAATTTACTTTTAGTATAACTACTCTTGTTTGTAATAGAAACAGCAATATTATCCTTCCTTCAAATGATGATATTCAACGTAGTTTTATTGAAAGAAAATATCAACAAATTGGTTCATATGCGGATGATAATACAATGAAAATTAGAGCTCGATGTCATATTTATTCACTTCCATATCAATTTGATATGTTTCATAATGTGACTAATTCTTTTAAAGGTGCCATATTTGATAAAGTTCGATCGGTGATAATTATTGATGATATACGTCCTTTTGAATATGAATTTTCCCGAATTATCTCACAATCTTTTCCTTTTCTTCAAACATTATCGATACAAAATAATGAACCACAAAAATATAAAAAATATTTATTTAAATTTATTACATTTCCTCATCTTAATGTTCTCAATCTTGAATTGGCACACATTGATTATATTGAACAATTTCTCTTTGAAAGAAAGACTCATTTACCTTGTTTGTTACATCTCACAATCCAATATGATTCATTAGTTATGATAACAAACAATTTTACCAATAATCCAACATATTTCAATTTTGCAAAGTTGAAAACTCTTCTTACAGATAAGGCTTTTGTTCGTCCAGAAAATTTTCATTTATATTTTCCTCGATTATAAACATTGCTTTTCTCATATACTTTTCTAATAAAACGAGAAAATAACGTATATTCCATAATCATAATAATCACAATGTAGAAATGATTGATTTGTCAAATAATATTTATATGATGGAGAAGTAGAGTCTGTCGGGTTGATCCCAGACTTGGACTCGATTCAGTTCGTGTTGGATTCGCATCTCAAAACTTGCTGATGACGGGTAAAATTCAACGTTTGAAGCTCGTGATTTTGTTATAATAGATGAATTTCAATGTCTTAATTAGCCGGATTTTCTATCCAGTCTTAGTTATTTAATTCGAAAAATAACACCGGCTGCCCTAGTCTATGCTGTTTATTAAGATCCAAATACATCATTTAGAATCTCAGATGTTTATTGAACGTTGTTTTATGATAATAATGTTGAAGAAAAATAAATGAAGATAAATGTAAAAAAAAATCAACAAACAGAGAAAAAGGAAATCAATAAAATAGCGAAGAAAAAAATCAACAAATAGAGAAGAAAAAACCAAGATCATGTAATCAAACAAACTCAAAGTTAGTCCAACAGTTTATTTGTTTTGATTGATTGAATATTTATGATTGATCAACATGTAAAGTAAATGCAGCCTGTACTTTGTCCTTTATCATTTGAAATAATAACTGTATATTGACCTTCATCTGTTGGTAAAACAACAGGAATTTCAAGTGAAAATTCTCTTTCATCATTTGTTAATATAAATCGATTTGATTCAAGATTAAGTTGTTCACCATTTAAATTCCATTGAGCTAATAAAAAAAAGACAAAAAGAAAAGATAATTTACAAAAAAAAATTATTTTTTTTACCAGTCATTGGTGTTGATCCTGATGTTTTACAATTAAATATTGCTTTACTATCTTTCATTGAACGAATACTTTGTGGAAATTGAATAAATCCAGGATCGAGTGCTTCTTTATTACGAGCTAAAAAAGAATAAAAAAAGAATTTTCATTTATGAAATATTTTAAACATATTTTTTTCTTACGTTGAATAATAATTGAACAAGAAGAAAGTTGTTCATCATTTGTTGATTTACTTTTTAATAAAGCTGAAAATACACCTGAATCATCAGGAAATCTATATAAATTAAATTTAATAAATCATTTTTCAAAAATTTTTTCAAATATTTACACAGCAGTAACAAATAATTTGAATATATTTCCTTCACGTTCATGACGAATATCTGCATTTTGATGAATTTGTTTATTGTTTTGAAACCATATTAATTGAATATCATCATGATCATCACGACCTAAATCAACGAGAAAAACAAAATAATCAAGAAATTTAAATCAATACTAACCTTCACATGTACAATCAAGTACCAATGGATCAAATTCCATGAGATTTTGTGATCGTGGATAATTAATAAAATTTAAATGTGATTGAATTTTTTCTTCTGTTTTATATTTATTATCTTCATATTCTTGAATAACTCTTGTGACCATACTTGTAAGTTTTTCATGGAATTTCATAATATCTTCTAAAATTGTTATATTAACTAGATTAACATTTGTTGCTGTTGATTGCTTGGAATCTTTCACAGCTTTTTGATAATTATCCTGTGCATTTAAAAATTTGATTTTTTGTTCACGTTCCAATTTATCCAATAAAATTTCCTACATGGAGAAAACAGTAAATAAAAAGTAAGAATTCTTAACTTACATTATTTTTTGCCCCATTTAGTTTTTCTAAAAATTCATTCATCATGATTGTTTTCATTGATTCATCCATTATTTTCTTTTTGTTTCTGTTAGGTTTGAATAGATAACTACCAGTAGTGTTATTCTATATATATATCTGGGCTCATGTACGAACGGACGAGATAAAGTGAAAGAAAATAAACGAAAAGAATTCGAATGATATGTAGAGAATAGCCACAAAAGGAAAAAACTGACATGGACTAACTTCTTTAACCCTTTACCCTCCAATATCCACTCCAATGGACATTGGTATATGCACTACTGAATAAAATCAGAGTGTATAAACCAAAGTGAACTTTATATGGATTGATAATTGTATCCTAAGAAAAAATTCTCTTCATTATTCAAAACAAAAAACAGAAATAATTATTTACAGTAATTTTCTCATATATACTTGAATAGTACGTTTAAGTGCTGGTTCATAGAGAAGACTTTTTTGATTGTAACCAACGATAAAAATGATTTAATTGCATATCTGCAAAAATATTCGTATAGAAATGAACATCTTGTAACCATATTTGAACTATTTATCGAAGAAGACGTAATGCGGGTAGACATTGGGATGTTTCATCATATGCTGTCATTGAAGTATTATTGATAGATGGAACGACACCCGGACCACCTAATGGATTTTGTACAGTTGTACCAAAACCTTGAAAATAAAAAAAAATATTTTTTGAAAAATTAGTTTTTTTTTTTTTACCAAGATCAAAATTTGATCCTTCAGCTTCATGAATTTTTTGAAAATTTAATACAGCACATATAGCTAAACCAACAAGTTCAAACTCAATACATGATGTTGGATAAAATCCTGAATGATTTATTTCAAATGGATGATTTTGTTTATTCGAATGAATTTCATCATTTGCATTTTTAAATATATTATCAGTTGAATTAATATGTTGGTTATTTCCATTTTGATCATTTATATTAGCTGTTAATAACATTCGATAATCATCTTGTTCTTTTCCACCTAAATCTGGTTGATCTGTTAATGAACACCATAATCAATGATTATGTTTTATTAAATGTCGAGCATAAAATAGATCACATGCAAATAAACATGGATCATCAGGAAAATTTCCTAATGGAATATGAAGATATCGACATTGTTCAAGCATATTAACAAGTATTATATTTGCATTTGCATAATGTTGTAATGCATGACGAGCTGCTGTTCGTTGCCAATCAAGACCTTTATATAAATTAGTTTTATCTTTTATTGATAATGTTACTTTTGGATAATCATTTAATGATGATAACATTGATGATTGAAGATCACATATAGAAATATTTGATTGTATAGCCAAATAGATTGATAATGTACGAGTTTCCATATCATTTTCACGAACTATAATAATTAGTTATTGAGAAAAATTCAATATTATTGAATTTTGTATAAAATCATTGTTTACAAAAAAATTTCTATTCTTAGAAAAAGTCTATGTTTCTAGATCTCAACATAAGCAAAATACTGATTGTATCGTCAAAACAGATACTAATTTTTTAAAGACTACGAAATTTCGTCGAAAAAACATTTTGAAATATCCGTAGAATTAATAAAAATATAAACTTATAAGATTGCCACTTAAAAATCTGTAGGCTTTTTTTCAAGATAGGTCTTCCAGCCAATCAAATTTTGTTGGTCGTGTGCCAGTATGCCAACACTATCTCGGTAAATTATTATTACATCAATTTGATATCCTTATTCTTTGATCTGCTTTGTAGTCATTTCGAGCCATTCCAATGGCTCAGAATATCTGAATGAGATTTTTCCTTCCTTGAAAAATACTTTTCGTAAAAGAACTTATGTGACAAGTTTGTTCATACTACTGCAATACCTCTAAGTTGTTGACAGGAGGTTATCGATCGGAAAACATCTATCGGTATATCACAATAAAATGTCCGTCAAATGATAGCCGATCATTTAATTATCAAACTATCAGTGGTTGACGGTCAGGTTTTTGTCCGATTTGAATCACACAAGGAGAAAAACATACTTATTATTAGTGTGTTAGAGTCCGAGTAGGATGGATATAAGCAATTTATGGTTCAGATCGAACTATCGAAAAGTGGCCTAATTTAGAGATTTGCCTAGTATTTTCATCTATGGTAAAAAAAAAAAGAACTCTATTCGAGTTATTATCTATTGACTTGAATGAAATGAAGAAAAGAAAAACGTAAATGTTTTTTGTTGTTGTTGTAATCCGATTTAAAATCATATTCATTTAAATTTTACTTACGACTTGCAATAATTTTATTAAATCTTTTCCAAATATTTTGTATATCGGTATCAACTTTAACTTCAAATTGATGTTCATTTATTGGTAATAAATTTGTATCAATACCTTTTTGTAATCGTTTTTCACATTCATTTTTTAATAATTTATTTAAATTAGGCATATGATTTTCTCTAATACTATCTAATATACCAATGAATACACGAGAATTATTTGGTATAAATAAAGCAATAAATAATTTTCCATTATCTTGATGTATATATAAATAAATACATTGTAATGTACCTGATTGTAAATATGTTTGTTCTGATAATGATAAAAATTCTAATTCATCAAATTGATATAAATTTGAAAGTATATTTGTATGTTGTTGTTCTTTACGTAATGAACATATAGAACTAAGTGTAATAAGTAAACGAAAATCTAATGGTACATTCATTTCATAAACACCTTCAATATTTGGATTACTTAAATCAGTCATTATATCTGTATAATAATTATGAAAATGATTTTCATCTAAACGATATTCATATAAATAATATGTTTGTGAACAACGTGGTAATAAACGATGAACACGTTTTGAACAATTATTAATTGTATGTTCATAACCAATTTAATGTTGTGTTTGTATATTATTATTTTCAATTGATGTACGATAATTAACATAAAATATTCTTGGAACTTTTATTTTAATTTGTATTAATTCATTTTCAACTAAACACCAAGCTTTAAATATACCTATTTGATCAGTTAATTCATATGATATTATTTGCCATGGATGTGTATGTAAATGTTCAGCTGCACGACGAATATATGTATCAATTTTACCATCATTTAAAATTTTTTGTTTTATTTTTAATTGAATTTTATCAGATATTATTGATGATTGATTTAGTCGTTGTTCATATTGTATATTCCATTTATGTTTTTGATAATTCAGCCATTTAATATGTTGATTTATTGTTTGACCAAATATTGGTGGTGGACCAAGAGCAATTCTCCATTGACGTGTTATTGTTTTATCATTTAATTCCATATCAAGAGAGATTGAAAAATCGACTTTTTTTGCGCCAGACGGATTGAGCTGAAATTTTAGGATATGAATTATGACTAATACTTATACATCTTGTGAAAGTTTCATCTTTATACATATAATGGTTGTAGAGATATATATTTTTGTAGTTAGGTATAGGTGAGTATCATTTATTTGCATCGAACGTAGCGCTTCTCGTGTAAATCAATTTTTTTCAGAAGAGAAGATACTGTCTAGTATAATTAGTAACGATTTATAACTTTTTTGAACATATTTATCGACTTTATTTGTTTTTTAAGTGAATTCTGGAATCTATGCTCCTCTTCCATCGCTTGGTAACGAGCAAAAAAATCACGTTAGATGGCAGCTCTAAAGTATCTATCGTTGAACTATAGAAATCAAACACGCCGCTGTTATGTTTCCTTTTCTTTTGATCTTCTATATTTTGTTTTCGTTCTAACATGAATGTCCTGTATGTATATATGAATAAATTTCGTCAATAATCTACCAGTTTAACGAAGTAAAATAAAATATATTAGAGGCTA